TCTACTTATACTTTTTATGAGAGAGTAATTGTCTTCTATTATTATTTGATCATTATAAATCAAGCTCTGTTTACTACTGAACTTAGATACTTAGATGGAGTAAAATCCTCGCGGTGTATTGCATAGCTCCTCGTCCAACGGGAAACTAAAAGCATGAACTTTTGAACCACCCACATAATTCCCCCGACAAAAGGGAACACAGCACTTGAAAGGCATTGTTATTTCGCCGATCACAACACAAAATATTTCACAAAACAGTAATTTTTCCGCCAATTATTTAGATGAATAAACAACAAAAGAATTCGGGACCGTTTCAAAAACATACGTGAATCACCGATGAATTAACACGAATAGACGCGTTAGTCGACAAGCGATAAAATAAAACACTGGCCTCACTTGGCGACGTCACGAGCTGTTTACGTCAGAGTCTGCTGGCCTTGTTGTATCGGTGGTAACGCCTCGCCTGACGTCCGTTCAGTGTGCATTGCGCCTAAGTTGGCTCTCTCAATCTCATTCCTTCTATGTCTTTTGGAGATTTAACATGGTGCAACAACTATTTGCATCTCACCATTGAGATCGAATTTGAGGATTTGGATGGAACGGAACTTCATACCTCTCACAACTTACAAGATCCCAATGATGAGGAACGAATTTGTCACATCTTGTACAGTTATCCTCCAAGTCCAAGTTTGCGAATAAGAATCATTTACCAAGCAACATTGAAATTTCTGCCAGCACAGGTTCAAGGTACCCAAAGTAGCGGTGCCTCTATGTACAATAAAAGTATCTCAACAGTCTCAACAAAAACTCTAAAATATAAATAAAATTCTGCATAACCAACCGATATTTTCAGCTAGCAATTTTCCAAGCATCGAGTACAAACTAGAGTTCCCTAATGGATTTGACGTTTTTGTCAGACAAAACCACAAATATGATATACCGGGTGATACAAGTGACATATGTAACAACCTGTAGTTTTTTTAATTGAAGAGATAAAACTTTTAAATTCACAAGGGTTATATAATCGATGATGGCGCTTTCCTTGAACCCAATGACAATTTTCTTCAACCACCTGTTTGATTGTTAATGGCACCCTGTACATTGAATGACATTTCGATGCTTGATAGGCTCAGAAATCCAAAGATCATCACTTAGACGATATTTTCAGAATATTTTCCCTTATTTGAGCAGACCAGATACTCCATCTCACTAGATTTTTTCTAGCAGACAATGCAATAAAGTAAAGTTTTAGTAGAGTACACTGTAAGAATATCGTCCTGTCCTAAGGATCTATTTGATGGACATTTGAATGCCTAAAGTAAATCGTTTGCTAGTATTTTCACAGTCTGAAACTGCACAAGCTTATTAATTCTCCCCAATTTGTTCTCGTTCAAGTACTGTCAATTCCTGCCTTTTTTATTTATTCATTTGTGGTTATCTCTAACTGACATTTAGGAACTCTAGTACAAACCAACAAAGAATTGAAAATTCAGAAGTGGCGAAGGAATATTGTAATTTGATTTCCTCAAATTTTTGAAATAGCATGAGTATATAATTTGAGCAAATAAAAAATGTGAACAGCCTATGATTCAAAACTGTGACTACTGCACAAAATATAGAGTTAGTTGTGAGCATATCAATTTTTCTTTTTTAATATATATCATTAATGAAGGCATAACTATGACTTCATGAATAGTATTGGAAAATGCTCAACAAAAAACAATCTCTGACAGACCTCAATCTCCAAACCATAAACAATAACTTGCCCTGTCAAATTAACACCAATATTTCAAGCGTAAAACCAAGTCCAATTGCCACGTGACAGGGCGACTATTTCATCTCAAGCGTCTCATATAATATTAAGTATCACTTCTGCTAAATTCATCAACTAAATGCTACTATCACAATCAACAACAAACATCAATGTAATTTAGAGAAACCGAATGAATATGACAGAAAAATCAATGGGCTATAATGGGCCATATAAATATGAGATATGGTGAAGGGAAGCGACCAGAAATAAAGTAGAAATGTTGATTGTCAATGAAATTTACAGGTTTTTTGTTGTAATCAGATTATGTAGAATATAATATTGACAAATTCAAGTTCAATTTTAAATTCATTCAATAATTAGACAATATCAGTGATCAGAATGAAACCTCAGTTCAAGAAATTCATAAAAATTCAGAAAATTCATCATGGTGCAGTCATCGAAAAAAGAAGAAAACCGGATTAAAATTTGTAGTGCCCAATTTGAATATTATTCCTCCCTATTAAATAGGCACCAGAAACATTGATTTTTCACCCTATCTTCTTGAAATTTTATTGTGTCAGTTGCCTCCTCAAGGTGATTAAAAAAATAAGAAAATACAAAGACATAAAGCATTCGACTCATAAAAATAAAATATCTCGACGTTCCCATGATTTTTCAAAGAGTATTCTTTCTTCAAGCTAAGAACATGTGAAGATTTCAAAACTATTGACATTTTGCTACTTTTGAAATGTATTCTCGTATTATACACCATTTCATTCTGTCAAATTCACCTCACCTTATGTTAAACAAAGTTTGGTAAAACTGCATTCATCATGCGATGGGTTTTTTTGAATATTTTCTCTGGTACCTACGTATTTTTGTCCGAAAAACACGAATTCGATAATGAAAATGTGAACAAACCACTATTAACCGAGATATTTCAAGAAAAAGTTCGAAATTCACCTTTCTTTTTCCCCCTGTATTGGATGCATTTACAGCTACTTGCTCTTCTTATTTTGTCATTGGACACTTTAAATAATTATGATGTACTTCAATGACACATTTTTATATAGAAAATTCAACAGGAAATATGATTTTTAGGGCGAGTTTTCCATATTAAGTGAACAAGCATACCAGATGACGGCCATTTAATCAGTAGTCAATCCAAATACGAGATGTCAAATGTCAACAAATGTTACACACGCCATTATTTCAAATGATATTCTTCCTTATTTCCACTAAATATGGATGAATCACATTGAAATCATATTTCTAGTTGACTCATATAATAGAAAAAATGTGTCGTATATTGTGATATATACAGGGTGTTTCATAGATAAAGGGAAATATTCCAATGGTACATAATGGTCACCAAGGTGGTTCTGAAAATACCATATTTGATAGGTCTTAGAGTCTTCATAACGGAGATACAAGGCGATTTATCGGTTTCGAATAATTATTCATTCGTCTATAAGTATTGAACTACCCAGTATATTTTTCTAAAATTTGGTATGGAGCTTATACTTGAGACGTTGAATTCATTCACCTATCGGTCGAAGTGAAAATCCAGGTTCGGCTTCATGAAAAATTGACATTTATTCGAAATATCAAAATAACACACTGTATGTAATAATTGACAGAGTTCATCAAAGGAATCATGAAGAGGAGGAAAAACTGAACTGGATTTGATGCTGATTGTTTTCCCGCCACCAATTCTCATCGTAACAATCATAAGCAGAAAGCTAAAAGTATTTCAATTTGAAGAGTATTAAATTTATGAAACCACTTTCAATTATGATTATTTGATATATTCTTGTTAAATGATCGTTCGAAAGAACTTACTAAGTCTCACAGTCTTTATAACGGAGATACAGGGTGAAGTATCGGTTTCGAATAATTATTCACTCGTCCATAAGTATAAAACTACCCATCGCAGTAATATTTTCTCAAATTTGGTATTGAGCTTACTTGGTACGATGGATTCATTGACCTATGTAGCAGACTGGAAATACAGGTTCAGCATCAGGAAAAGTCTCATAGTCTTTATAACAGAGAGACAGGGTGAATTATCGAATCATAATTATTTGGTATTATTTCCATTCCGCCTGATAGGTTAATGAATCCATCGAACCAAGTAAGCTACATACCAAACTTGAGAAAATGTTACTGGGTAGTTTAATACTTATGGACGAGTGAATAATTATTCAAAACCGATAATTCACCCTGTATCTCCGTTATAAAGACTGTGAGACTTTGTAAGTTCTTTCGAGCGATTTTTTGACTAAAATATCGAATAATCATAATGAACACTGGTTTCACAATTTCAATACTCTTCAAATTGACAAACTTTCAACTTTCTGTTTATGATTGTTACGATGAGAATTGGTGGCGGGAAAACAAAAAGCATCAAACCCAATTCAGTTTTTCCCCCTCTTCACAATTCTTTTGATGTACTGTGTTAATTATCGAATACAGTGTGTACTTTAATATTTCGAATAAATGTAAATTTTTCCTGAAGCCAAACCTGGATTTTCACTCCCCTCGATAGGTGAATGGATTTAACGTCCCAAGTATAAGATCCTCACCAAATTTGAGAAAACTATACTGGGTAGGTCAATACATATAGACGAATGAATAATTATTCGAAATCGATAAATAGCCCTGTATCTCCGTTATGAAGACTCTAAGACCTATCAAATATGGTATTTTCAGAACCACCTTGGTGACCCCTATCTACCATTGAAATATTTCCCTTTACCTGTGAAACACCCTGTATAATTTATCCAATGATGAAAAAAGAAGGGCAATCCAGAAGACAGACGGAAAAGAAGGTGAAATTTGTAAATTTATAGTGAAATATCTAAATAAATAATGGTTTGTTCACATTTTCATTATCAAATTCGTGTTTTTTAGGCAAAAAGTACCAAAAAAATGTTCCGAATGAAAAACGCATCGCATGATAAATGCTGTTTTACCCAAAGTTTTAATGCATACGGATTCTCTGCTATTCGAATATGGAATCTGTCAAAACTTCAACAACAAATTCATAATTTTCCAAGAACTCCAAAAGTTCATCGTGCTGAAGTTGAATTATTTTCAACTTTCATTTCATTATACTGGAAGGTTCACCAAAGTTTTCGTCAAGGATAATCCGTATGCATGAAAACTCAGCTTCACTTCGGTACTGTCTAACCTAGCAATAAGTCTTAAGAGGACTAAAAAATACCAAACGAATGGGTCGTTATTTGATTGTCAACATTATCAAAGAGGGTACTTTTCATTTATCAAACACATAAATCTAAGTAGTTCGGTATGAGTATTGCAGCTCGGGATTCTCTTCGTTTCTCCACCGTTACCTGACACATCCTGAAAGATCCGGAAAGCTTCGATCTTTCAACGCTCGATACTATCTATCGATTCGGAAGGGACGTACTGAAAGGTCGTACGCATGCGTCTACTGTATTCCGCTCGATTCTCCTTCCACTCTCGACAAACGCATCTCGAATTCCTTGTTGAGGGCCGCTTTCGCCTGAATCAATCAATCAACTTTATTATTCCCAAGAAACAACATTTGTTTATAGCAGGGAACATAGTGAATACATAAATATATTTGACAAAATAAAATAAAGAAGACAGTAAAATAAGACTCATATAGGTCGCGTGCACGATGACCGACCCTGGAGGCAAAATATTGAAACACAACCTCACTCTTCTGTGAGTTATTGAAACACAACCTCACTTTTTTTATTTGGTTACAGAGGAATCAAAGGATTGAAATAGTTTTACACAATATTTTGGCATACAAATCGTGTTTTTTGCTCTATTCATTAATTCAAGCATGCCTTCGCATTGTGCTGTTGTACAATGCACAAAAAATGCAGCGAGAGACGAAGGAATATGATTTTTCAGGTGAATAGTAATCTCATATAGTTATCATTATGAAATGTTGCCATTCCTTATTGAAATTCCTTCTGCCACTTCTGCAATACAAGCTAATACTGCTAATAGATTGAAAATGTCACACACGATCATATTTCGTCAGCATGTCAGACCAGTCCTCCCGTTTGATTGCATGAATCCAATCTTCTTGCATTATTTTAAAAATTTCACGAGTATTTCTATTAGGTCCTATTGCAGAAGGAATTCCGATGGGAAATCAGAGAAATAACCAATTTTCAAAAATGAAAAATATAAGTATGTGAGTGACTATAGTAGGTACTTACTTTTAAATTATAATGCACAAACCGGATTCCTTCGTCTTCCACTGCAGTTTTTGTGCATTGTATAACAGCACAATTTGATGTCATGACCGAATTAATAAATAACCGAAAAATACGATTTCTATGCCGAACTAAATGTGAAAAACTATTTCAATCAATTGCAAACAAATAAGAAAAGTGAGGTTGTGTTTCAATGTTGTTCTTCCAGGGTCGGTCATCTGACAGTTGACAGACTTATGAAATTCTCCTGTCCCGGTCACGGTGTTAGTGGTCAAACTCCTCCGAAACGGCTCGACCGATTCGAATGAAATTTTTTGTGCGTGCGGTAGGTATGAGAATCGGTCGTAATCTATTTTTTAAATCGAAAATTCAAGATGGCGGATCCAATATGACGGACGAGTTTTGTAATCATGGTCAGATTCCATTCAAAATTGGTATCTGGGGGATTTTGGGATCGGAGATTATGATTCTTCATCAAAATTAGGAAATCAAAGATGGAGGATCCAATATGGCAACTGAGTTTTGTAATTATGATCCGATTCTATTCAAAATTTGTATCTGCGTGTTTGCGGGGTCGGAGAAGAATTAGAAAACAAAATGATAGAAGTATGTTGATAAATATTCAACTAAAAAATATTTTCTAGAAATAATTGTATACCTATATAGCAAAATAACGTTTGCCGGGTATTAGCTATTGTAATAAATATTAGTTTGGAAAACTAAGGAAACACCTTTTTATAGAAAGCCAAACTAAAAAGAAGTGAGTAGAAAATAAAGAGTAGTTTGAAAAAATGAAGAGGTATAGAGTACCGAACTAAAAAGAAGTAGAAAATAAATAGAGTAGTTTGAAAAACTAAAGAATCCCGATTTTATTGATTGACAATAAACTGAAAAGAAGTAGAAATAAAATAATGAAAGTTTTCTGATGAATATTTATCTAAAAATTTTTTTCTAGAAATAATGTTTATGACAAAACAATGTTTGCCGGGTCAGCTAGTAGTTATATATTTTTTTCTTCTCGAAACAAGTAACCTTTTACTTATTGAGTATCGATCATTTATTATAATTTTTTTTGTCAACTGTATAATCATCTTTCCTTGAATAAATGATATTATTATTATTATTATGTTTTCACAGTGTCTGCTCACCTTCTCCCTGTGCTCGGCCAGCATCTCTCTGACTGCCTCGTGCTGCCGCGCCAGCTCCTCTTTGCGCTTCTCGAACACCTGCCCCAGCTTCTCCCTTTCCGACACCCCCCTGCCCACCACCGCCGTCACTGCCTCGTGCTTCACCCTAGTGAACTGCTCCCTGTTCCGGTGCTTCTTCGCCAGGGCTTTCACCTCCTCGCGATGGTCGGATTGAAGCTTCCTCATTAGTTCTGAGGTGGTCTTGTCGAATTGCTCCTGAAAGGAAAGGGGACTCGTTATCAAAAAAGATAACCGAGGACATCGGAAATAAGATAACTTGTATGCAAAGTATCCCTGGTGAGTTTTAGACTTATCACGTCACCTATGATGGTAGGTCGTAGGATTGTTCATACGGGACGCGGTTACTTAGACTCAGTCGCGGTAAGTGCCGAGGGAATTATAAAAATGGTTTGAAAGTTTATGTTTTTTAGAATTCCCCAAGGATGGAACTGTCTTGTCGAATTGCTCTTAAAAACTCTGGGAATTCGATAACTTGCAGTGACAATGTTTTAGTCACTTTAATGAATTCATGTTGGCAACATTATGCAATAGCAGCACCTTCATAACCTAGAAAACTTGCATTAAACCACTTCGTCTAGTGGCCAAGTCACAGAATAATAATAATAATAATAATAATAATAATAATAATAATAATAATAATAATAATAATAATAAGAGAACTGACTTTCGCTTTTCTTAAGTCAGGCGGGCTCAAATCGGAAACAGAGGGGTTCATCATGGCATGCCAGGATGGGGTTTTCAACACTCTCGTCTACCGTAGCCGTGTCATGGGTATAGAGGTCCCTGACACAAATTGCAGGGCCTGCCGCAGGGCGCCCGAGACAATTATGCACCTGCTGTCCTCTTGCACGGTGTATGCAGTCTCGGCCTATATCCATAGACACAATGCGGCATTGCGAGTGCTCTATTATCACTTGAGGCACTCGTACGGAATAGACGAGACCCCAGTGCTGCCCTATGCTCCGGGGGATATTGAGTCCGTTGTGGAGAATGAAAGGTGCCGAATTTATTGGAACTTCTCATTCCCCACCCTCAGGCAGATACAAGCTAACAAGCCTGATGTAGTCCTCCTCGACCATCAAACCAAAGCGATGTTCGTGATCGAGTTTTCGGCGCCAGCCGAACCGAACATCGTTTTGAAGGAGGAGGAGAAACGGACTAAATATCGAGATCTTCTCTACGAACTCCGCCGGCTCTATCCAGACCATTCTGTGGAATTGGTCATCCTGATTATCGGCTCCCTTGGAGGCACACGACACACGCTACTCTCGGAGATCCAGAAAATCCCAGCGTGCCGTGATAAGGCACACATCCTGGCTGGTGGTATGCAGAAGGCCGTCATACTTGGATCATTGCGTCTACTCAGGGCACACGGTACTTGGTCCCAGTGATTACTCACCTCACAGGCTGTGAGGAGTAGTCACTGGATTTTATCCAGCACGACTCTGCGTGACGTCGGAGGCCGCAGGGTCGTGACTGGAATTTCATGGACTTAAATGAATAATAATAATAATAATAATAATAATAAGTATTTATTTATACCACGGTACAAAAGGGCGTAATTCAGTCGCACACATTCGAAGAATGCAGGAGGCTGCTCTTCCATTCAACCCTACACAAAGATAAATAAAAAAATATGCTCCATTCAAATTAAAAAAATGTAAATTTTTCTACATATGTATCTATAGCATAAATATTAAGTTTCTGAGATTATCAATAATATCAATGATAAATTAACTGAATGATGATATGAGATAAAAAAAAATAGTGAAATATCTTAATGCAAATACCCACTGGGTGGAACGAGTGAAAAATTGGATGACGACGGAGCTGAAGAAATCTATTATATTGGACTGAGCGTGGAGTGAAATATCATATTTATATTAATGGAGTTAAATCAAAATTGAACCTTCAAGTATATTTTTTCTCAATGTAGACTTGAATCTGCCGACATTCAAAATCTTCGGCGAATCTGGGAGAGCATTGTATATTTTAGCTATGTTATATGAAAAGGATCTTTGGAATATAGCAGTCTTATGTTTTGGAGCTGAAATGTGATGTCGATATCTTGTTTCTCTTGAGTGAACATCTTCACGAAATGTGATTTTTTCATGCAAATAATTTGGGATTTTTTGTAGGATCACCTCATGGAAATAGTAAGAGCCATCTTTGACGCATAGTCAGCCAATTAGATTCGGTGATTTTGTGTGAAATAGAATCACGTCTACGGATTCCATATATATACCTAGCACAAGTATTCGGTTTCGATCACGCACAGTCAAGCAAGGGTAATATACCATGAAGGAAAAGTTGAAATGGCTCAAAACTAAGGAATCGCACAATATTTTCTTCGTCTTTCTATCAAGAATTCTAGAAAAGCTATAGAGTAATCTTAGATTGCCATAAGCTCTCCTAACACACGTTGTTACATGATCAGTAAATCTCAAATCTGAATCCATAGTTAGTCCCAAGTTTCTAGCCGATTCAACAGATTCTATCGACTTCGATTGGATTGAGATGGATAAATAATCTTTGCTTTTGTTACCAAACAGTAGCATTTTAGATTTTGAGGGATTTATGGTTAGGCAATGTTCAACAGATGCTTGTGCTAGTAAATTGAGTTCATAATTAATGATTTCACATGCTTCAAGAGACTGTGCACTATTGAAAGGGTAATATATTTGAGTATCATCTGCATAATAATGTGCTTTACAGTTGGATAAGAATGATGATAAATATGTGTAGTATAAATGGTAAATAGTAATGGACCCAATATTGAACCTTGAGGAACTCCGTCAGTAATGTTTACTGGCTCAGAGAGCTTCCCATCATATTTAACAATCTGGATACGATTCTCTAGGTAATTTTTTAGCATAGAACATGCACTGCTAAATCACCTTTATCAAGTGCACATAAGAGATCATCAGTGACATGCAGTAGTGCGGACGCACAACTATGTTGAGGACGAAAACCAGATTGATTTTCTGGAAGAAGTTTGTAATTATTGAGATATTCTCTCATTTGGCAATTCAAAATTTTCTCAAGCAGCTTCGAGAGTACAGGTAAAATACTAATCGGTCTCAAATCTTTCCAATCTTTTGGATTATTAATTTTAGGAAGTGGGATAACATGAGCTACTTTCCAACTATCTTGATTTTTCTATGCAGAAATTGATGATATGTGTGAGATAAATTATTATGTTAGGACAGCATAATAATAATATCATCTTCAAATTGATTTCATCTGCACCACTCGCATTGGGTTTAGTATTGAAACGATTTCAGGTTCGACCATTCGAAAGAAAAAAGTATCAGAGCCGTATTTAATATTATTGTCATAGAAATGTAAAGCATCTTTGTCAGGAATATTATTAACTTGACTGGAACATACATACATACATGGACAAGTTGCCTGCAGCTTGCGCATCAGCTTCAACATAGTATTGTAGAATTGTTCCTGAAAGGGGACTAGTTTTCAACAGAAGAAAGTAGAAGAAACAGGAAATGAAACAACTTGCAGTGAACGTGTCGAAGGTGTGTTATATCGTTATCCCCGAAACAAACAAAGGATTTTTGTGCACAAGTTTCGGCTTATGGGGCTGGGACCGACGAAAAAAAAAATACTGTGCCCTCACCTTCAGCGCCTTGATCTGGCCGCTCTGCGATGCCCGCATGACCTTCTCCGCCTGCCCGTAAACCGCGTCGTGGTACTTCTCGCGCAGCTCCCGCTCCTGCGCCACGAACTCCCTGTCGACGGCCAGCAGCCGCTCCGAGTGGCTGCGCGGCAGAGCGGCCAAGGGCGGCCGATCGCCCTCCGCACTGCCGCCCGGCTCGGGGGCGTCCGCCACGCTGGTTAGCGGCTCGGCGCTGGGCGACTCGTTGTAGAAGACGGCCGTCACGCTGGAAGCAGAGAAACATCGAAACTCATTGAACATAATTCTCAGTTAAATCTTTGGTGGAAGTCCACAGTTTCTCAAAGTGGATTGAAGTGGTAATAACTTCTTAACAAAACTCGAAGACGAAGTACAGTTATGTCGTGGAGATGACTATTATTTGGTAGTTATTACTCAGTTATGAAAATGATTTTTTCTACAAGCGTGCGTGATTCACCCTATACCCGCACGCAATTTAGTTTGGGAAGTGTCATTTTCCCGCAACAGTACGGGAAAATTTTCCCACACTAGTGCGGGAAATTTTTTTCCGCACTAGTGCGGGAAAACAAAGATATGATATAATCGCTATTAATATAAGTGGTTGGTGATGGAATATAAAATTTTGAGTTTGTTTGTTGCAGTATTAAGTATGTATGTTCAGAATCATCCATCGAATTGCACTATTTATTTTAAAAATTAAGAAATATTGAGAAATAAAAATTGATTATTATAAAAATCCCCCTATAGATTTGGATTGATCTGACGGGAAACGTCAATTTGTCATGCCAATTAAACCTCAAATAAGTTTGAAATTGTCGAAGTGACAGACACAGCGTTACTGTCATTTTCGATTCAGTGGAAATGCCACAATGTGATCAAAAACTTCTAGCTATAGGGATTTGATACAGATGCGTTATCACCAACGAAATCTTGAGAAAGGTATGAGAAGCTATACACGCGTTTTATTGAATGGTGCAACAATAAAGAAATGAAAAAACCGAATGAAGAATAGGTATTTTTGGCTCATTTCATAGAAGTGTCTGGAACCTAGAGACCAAACTCCTAATGGGCCTGCTGGCTCCCGCAATGAACCAACATAATGCGTCAAACTGTAAGTTCACAATAGCTATTACTAATAATTAATAGATAGAGAATATATATCTCTTGTTAGTTGTTCCTATTTGCTTGAATAATTAATTGAACGATTCAATCAATTTCCTACGCTTGTAGAAAAAATATTGTTCCTAACTCATGCGGAAAGTTTCTTTCCCGCACTCGACTGCTTGCCCGAACTCCGCTTCGCGTCGTTCGTGTCAACGGCAGTCACGTGCGGGAAAGAATCACTTTCCGCACTTGTTAGGAAAATTACTATTTTCTACAAGCGTGCGTGATTCACCCTATACCCGCACGCAATTTAGTTTGGGAAGTGTCATTTTCTCGCAACAGTGAGGGAAAATTTTCCCACACGGGAAAACGAAGATATGATAAAATCGCTAGTAATATAAATGGTTGGTGATGGAATATAAAAGTTTAAGTTTGTTTGTTGCATTATTAAGTATGTATGTTCAGAACCATCCATCAAATTGCACTATTTATTGTAAAAATTAAGAAATATTGAGAAATAAAAATTGATTATTAAAAAAATCCCCCTATAGATTTGGATTGATCTGACGGGAAACGTCAATTTGTCATGCCAATCAAACCTCAAATAAGTTTGATATTGTCGAAGTGACAGACACAGCGTTACTGTCATTTTCGATTCAGTGGAAATGCCACAATGTGATCAAAAACTTCTAGCTATAGGGATTTGATACAGATGCGTTATCACCAACGAAGTCTTAAGAAAGGTATGAGAAGCTATACACGCGTTTTATTTAATGGTGCAACAAGAAAGAAATGAAAAAACCGAATGAAGAATAGGTATTTTTGGCTCATTTCATAGAAGTGCCTGGAACCTAGAGACCAAACTCCTAATGGGCCTGCTGGCTTCCGCAATGAACCAACATAATGCGTCAAACTGTAAGTTCACAATAGCTATTACTAATAATTAATAGATAGAGAATATATATCTCTTGTTAGTTGTTCCTATTTGCTCGAATAATTAGATGAACGATTCAATCAATTCCCTACGCTTGTAGAAAAAATATTGTTCCTAACTCATGCGGAAAGTTTCTTTCCCGCACTCGACTGCTTGCCCGAACTCCGCTTCGCGTCGTTCGTGTCAACGGCAGTCACGTGCGGGAACGAATCACTTTCCGCACTTGTTAGGAAAATTACTATTTTATTTCAGGGAAAGATTTGTTGTCAGAGTGTTATTATCAAAGAAATTAGAGGCTGTGTCAAGTATGAAGTCTGACCATCAACCAGGTGTTTGGGAATATCGGTTTTCAAACCTGCCCACACAGCCCACACAGTTACCACGTCAACTCTTGGATGGGAGTCAAGTCAGCCATTGACCATTCTGGTATCACCACTGTGGTCAGACGGATGACTTGACAGCCAGAACATCAAATTGTCTGGACTGAATATTTTTCTTTGATCGAATCACATCTTTGCTACAGAGTGGCATTCTGGGGACAAGAGTCTCGAGATCATACCCGTGTGTTCACCGAACACGCTCGATCGTTACCTAAGCGGTGGGGAGACCGAGACGTAAGCAGGCAGTCATGATACAATGAGTGGGCAGGCAGCTTCTCTCATGCTGTCTTTGTTTTTGTAGTACGGGGTGGGCCACCAACAGTTTTCTTGATCACATTTCAACATTTTTTTTTTCGAATAAATAAGAAACATTTGATAGGCATCAAGTGATCTACTGCGACCTATCAGATAATGATAGCGATGATTTGATTTGCAATAATTCGCTATGTCACGACGAGTTCTACATGTAAATAGCGAACCACTCATCGAAAATCATGAAACTATATGTACATATTATATGCTTATGTTTTGTTGGCGAGGACGCTCGTTTTATTCAAATTATTTTAGATAATGTTCATCTGCTTCACTAGAAATTATTATTAGTAGTTATGTAGTACTTAGTAGTATAGTAGTAGCAGCTTTGTTATTCAAAATGGAACACCTTATATTTTATTACATTTTTCGATTCTTCTAATTGAGAATGTGAAAAATCGAGATTTTTTTTGTATCGAAACTATACAATACCTATATTGATTTGTCGAAATGGCTTACATGTGTCCCTATCCTATACTAGTATGCCAACTAAAAAAATATATATATTTGAAATAAACAAAACAAATATATCACATAAAAAAACACACTCTAATATTCATCATAAAATAAAATTCAATCCCACTGGATGTATTTAAAAATATAAACAGTGTGCATGTCACTTCTATAATGGAATATCAACCCGTATATCTAACGTAACTGTTCAATTTTAATATATTATTATAATAATAATAATATTATAATATATGTAAAACAAGAAGGCACAACTACTAGTGTTCCGTTTCGAAGTACATTAAATTGACAAATTTGACTCCAAAATAATTCAGGCACGCGCCAATATTCATAACGTAGTTACTGCTGCCCGTTTACGTTTCCCTACCGCTTAGGGAACGATCGGGCGTGTTCGGTGAACACACGGGTATGATCTCGAGACTCTAGTATTCTGGGGCTATTGTACTACAACATCCTTGAGTGCAGTTATTATATTGCAAACACTTCAAGTGTCAGAAACGTGACCTACTGAATATGCCATACGCAACAGTGCCGGATTAGCCACGTAGCAAGAGGCCCCGCGAATTGGGGGACCCTGCGCTCCAATGCCTGTCCGGCTTGTCTGACTGTGAAAAAAATCATCAGATCTGTACGACTGTGAAGGATACTATCAGCTATTAACATAGGGACGAATCAAGCGATATAATAAGTACGCACTGAGATGAACTCCGGCCGAGAATCCATTACTTTTACCATCAGCTGACACGCCACCACTGTTTCCTGCTTGGTTTACGATGACTTCTTCTTTGGATTGCGTAGATCCCATTTTAGATGATGTTACACTGCACTAATTTCAAGTTCTCCAGCCTCTACATGCTAATATATCGTGCATAGTAGGAGGACTGGCAGGATCGCCATGTGATGAACTCAGTTATCCTCTCAGGTTCCTTTATTATAAGTCAAAAGGATAAGGAATAAAACATCTCGAAGTCGATTGATTTCGTCTATTCGTTCGCAGTTAGATGTTAACTCGAATTCATTCACACTGTGTCCTAAATCTGAATACCATGTTTAATTATCTGTTCATAAACAACTCACCTAATTATAAATAATAATTTCAGCGGCTCTCTACTACACTCAACGACTTTGTTGAAAATCAAAGACCTGGACAACGTTTTGAAGTTCAGGTATTTATTTCCATTATTGATGACGTACTGTATGCTTCAACTAAACGTTTGAAAGCATTTCATGAAATTACTAATGTTTTTGGAGTATTTCGACAGCGAAAGAGATTTTGGAAAAATCCTCAATAATGGTCAGTGCTCACACAGATGATTTGGAAACCAGCCTAGGCGACGAATTAGTGTAGATCGTTGAGCTGCTCAAAACGAATGTGGGTACTGTCATTCAGAGCACCAAACAGGAGCCTCTGGAACTACAATTTTATTAACTCTCATTGAATAATTCTTCAGAATCATGTTTCCCGAAGATAGAAATTGCCTTGCGAATTTACGTGTATCTCATGAACTGTAGTGACGAACGTTTTTTTTTTTAGTATTAAAACGTATTAAAGATGAGTTAGGGAACACGATGGGCCAAGAACGTCTCAATCATCTCACTTTGATAAATATAGAGCATGATTTACTTGAAGAAATCGATATTGAAAGTGTTATCTCTAAATTTGCCCATATAGGTATATCCAGAGAAGTCTATTCGTGATAGTTTCGTTTTATTTCATTCAATACTCTGAACTTGATAACCTAAAGCAAACCAAGGGCCCCTTGATAGAATTTGCTACAGGCCCCGCGCTGGCTTAATCCGGCACTGATACGCAATAAGTATGATTTGCCTCTCCAAATAACAAGATCTGGTTTACGCAGAAATCATTGAATTTTGAAGGTCTCAAAATACATAACCACCCACGGCTAGGCTCTGGAATTCATTGCCTGTGGAAGTATTTCCAACAACATATAATCTCCAAAAATTCAAAAAAAATTCCAATACCTACCTCCTGTCCCTATCCTCCCTAGGAACGCACGATGTTCATTGAACATTATAGGGATTCCCTTTCGTGCGCTCCAATCGATAAAAAAAAAAAAAAAAAAGATAAATACAAGACCAATCCAGTGTGACAAAAAGTTCCGAAGCGCTGTAAAACAGCTGCATTCTACTAGCCCATTATAACATTAATTACTTCTTTGTGGTACCACTCTGTTTTGTTGTTCATTTTACTTTTGACTCACTATTCACAAGTTTTATATTTATACTAATTACCTAGGTATATTTACGGTTATATTTTTATATTACATATCATTTCTTTAATGACCTAGATTTACGGGATATTTGGTGCATTGTCAATGAGATTACCCTTCTTAGGACTAATAAAGCATATTTGATTTTAAGCAGAACGGTACAGTTCAGACAATCATAACTTTCGAGTAAAGGTACTGCAAGAGTTCGGCCGCATTTTTCAAAATTCAAAGTTATGTTTCCCCAGATTCTACGGAAATGTACACGTTGCATTGCAGAAAATCATATTAGAGCTCATGTAACGGAAAGTAGATTTGTACCTAGATCTAGATACTCATTCCGTGAATTCGAAGGTCACCCGCTCATGTTATACTATATTTGAATTTTGTGCACAATGAAATTGAAATTGTGTTCTTGCCTATTCAGAATCCACACATTTCCCCTATTGTTGTGGTAGACCATACCATACCACTCTTCAATTTTGATGTAGACCTCGATAGAATGTTCACTGACAAAACCGCTAATAACATAAGACTAAGACCATCTATTCACGAGCTTGAACTGGCTCCCATGAAGGATGCGCATTTAAAACTTGTCAAATGTCGTAATTAATCATTATTAATTTTCCCTAATTTGATTAATTCTATGAGTTAAGGGTGACAGTCATTGCAAACTCACAGTTAAACTGAATATAAGGTAAATTGAACTGGAGGTAGGTATAGTAGCAAGGTTGCATCAATCTAAAATATACCAACTCTATCACAGTGATTTAACAACATACGATGTAAGAAAATAAAATAACTTCCTTGTGTAGAAATACTTGGAGTTGGTGTACATGCCATGGAAATGTTCAAATAAATTGTAACTCACAAACGGGAAGGGGATCAACTGTAACTTTGAATCCAGACCATGCAAATATTTTAGTCAATAGAAAATAGTAGAAGGTAGAGATGATACATTTCCAATTACAATTACAACGAATGAAGAAGAGTGCACAATTTTATAATTTGAAAGTGCGTAACAATTATTGTTCAGAAGTGTAGGCAAACTACAAAGAACTCACCATTTGGGGCAAAGTCTCCATACACCAGCATGTTGGTGAGAATTAGTATTTTCATTCAGCGATCTTCAAAATGTTACATAAATATAGATATATTGTATTATTGAGGTTAAAATTGAACAGATTAATTGACGTAGTGAAGAAAATACAAAAGATTAATATGCTAATAATGTTTTTGAGGAACATAAGCACTGTTTTTTTTTTAAAGAATGGAATATGGTTGATTCCCAGCGAGCACAAACATCCCTGGGATGTTTTGGGATGTTTTGAAAATGTTGGCATGAATATGTTATTTTGAGACGTAATATGCACTGACCACAGAGGTCTTTGAAGGATATTGAAGTATTGTTTTTGTTCTTCTGTGGCATTTCTTTGGTTGCCTACTGAGAGGTGACCCTGGGATGTTTTGGGATGTTTTAGAATTGTAGGCATGAGGATGTTTTTTTGAGGCGTAATATGCACTTCCCAAAGAGGTCTTGGAAGGATATTGAAAGTATTGTTTTTGTTCTTTTGTGCCCTTCCTTTGTTTGCCCCACCACAACGTCTCATGCTTACGTCACAATACGATGAATTCTGATTTGTTTTCGATTTTGTTCTTCTTGTTCGCAATTGGCATTCGCGTTTGCAGCGTGTCACGCTTACATCATGCTGCTAACGAACAGAAAGGAATTTAGTGAAGTTTATTGTGTTAGAAGACTTATTCAGTTTGTAATAATGACTATCAGGTGCAAGATGTGTTGATCGGTGCCTCAGTGTAATCAATATATAAAAGTACGAATTCATCAATACACAGCTTCTCCGCAGTCGCAAAATTATGCATTGTGGAGAACATTTCAAAAATTGGGAAACCTATTTCCAATTATATGTCTGTGTGTAGTAAGCACTACTCAGAAACCGATTAAGAAGGTAATTTCATATCAAGAAAATATTTTTATGTTCAATCTATTTTTAATGCATATTTTCATTCAAGGGAAATGGAATCCTAATGCAAAAGTTCATTTTGACAAAAGGCTTCAGAAAAGTACCGCAAAAATGTTTTTTTTACAGCGATTTTATGTGCGCAAGACGCGTTGAAAATGTTCTGTTGTGTCCATGAAAAGGCTTTAAAAAGAACTAGGGAGAAGGTAGTTTTGTGACATATCAAGGACATCTCGATAATTGCCGCCTGCGGCGGACATGGGCTGTTCTATAATAGTTCTATTCATGTGTGAACAGAACATCGCAGTGGAGGTTCAATGTCTCGAAATCTCGTACTTTTAACATCTCTGAGATGTTTTTGTGCTCGCTGGGTTCAACAACATAAATAATTTTTCAATTCAAGAAAAATATCAGTGTATGCGAATTTCCTTTTATTGTCGACTAATTTAGTTGGTTCAGTGATGGAAAAAGTGAAGGATATTTGAGTTCAAACTATTGTGAAACATGATGCTCTAGTGAAATGGAAGATGCAGTTGCTTAGGTACTAAGCCTGTGTAAGTCTAAATACACAGGCAGGTTATGACAGACCAATGAAAGGCGATGTTGTCCATCAAGCAGTTCTAGGGTTTTCTGATGTTTGAGGTTACTTTAAAAAATATGGTCATAGTTGCAGTGTCAAACAACAGTTGATACTGTTGACTCATAGTGGAAGGAGAAGGAGAAGATGGTGTGCTTACGCGCATATTATGTGACGTCATCTGGGATACCAATATCAGCTGCTAGTCACAGACAGATACCGTTGCCATGGTATGGTATGAATGGTATGAATGAATTCAATCATATTTATTGGAATTTCTATAAGTTTCTCGATCTGTTTAGAAATAATTCAATTTATATAAACAGGTTCCTATTCCTTCGATTTTACTATTTCATTGATTCTGGAAATTGTGATCTTGAGGTAATTCGCAATCGCAAATAGCAAATACATTCGAATTATCATGCATTGCCAATCCCATCTGAATGATCCACTACTGTGTCGATTCTGACAGATTTAAATTCAGCAGTTAACGACGTTGACGTTGCTTCTGCTCCTACATCGACAACAGGAGTATCAATTTTTGCCATTTAGTTATTCAAATCTTTGCTGCAATTTATATTTTGTGAAAAATTGAGAGTTTTGAATTCATTTTCAATTATTCCTGACTTGATATTCGGAAGATGTTCAGTAACAATGGCATCTTGTTTCGAATATTTGTGATTTTTTGGAGGTGTGTAATTCAAGAACCGTACTTTCGCACCTGTTTGGAAACATTTTGCATGGAAATGTTTTGAAGAAATATGTGCTGTGATGATAATATGATAGGTGAATAATTTGGAATAAGGATATAAGTAATATAAGGTAGGTACCATTATTTGAGTTTATATTCTGTCGGCAGCAAGCTCCCATCGTTTCATTAGGTCTCCATTCTTGGAAAAGCAGAAAAATTCAATATCTGTGCCTTTTGTATGTTAGTTGGAATTTCCATAACCAGAAACGAAACAAGTAGGCATTTCGAAATTATTTCATTCAATTTTAGTACTTATACATATAATATCTGGAGGTCGAGACATCAATCACGAAAACAAATAATAATATCAATGACAGTTATATCCCAGCTGACGTCATGCGCAGAACAAGACGAGTTTGAGCTTTCTGTTGAGCACACCATCTTCTTCTTCCACTATGTGTTGACTGAATAAAAAATAAGAATTTGTTTTCGCTGAGGAATCTATTCGCCATTTTTGAAAGATTTGTAATAACAGTAATTCAGCGAACAAAATGTCATAAACAAATATTGACAACTATCATGACCACCAACCCAACTTGCGCACCTTTCAATAATTTGGTAGGTCCTAACCTGCCTGTTATTGAAATGTATAGGTCTAGGCACTCCTAAAATCGACAATAGCTACTTACATGCTTTTGCTCGACAGCCTCTTCACTAGCTTCATATTGACCAGCCTCGATCTCTTTTCCGAGAAGTCTCCCGACTTCTGAGACGTCAACGCCATCTTCTTCTTCTCGTGCTTCTTCCGCAAGTTCTCCAGTTTCTTCTCCAGCTCCAGCCTCTTTTCTTTCACCACCTACAGGGTGTTTGGAACATGTCAAGTTTTCGTCTCTAAAGCTGTCAATAATTACCCTACACTAATACAGGTCATGTATTTGTGAGGTGAATTTCAGATTCACTGCATTCAACCAATGATGGAAGTAAGATATGGTGCGCGCATTCGGCCATTATTACGTATTAAAAATTTCAGAAAAATCACTCGACCGCCTACTATGATTTCTCTACGTCACAACGAGCGAGACGTTGATTCTACATTTTCCCGCTACTATTGCTGCTGTGACGAGTGGAAATAAAATGGCAAATAGCATTTCAGGTACGCGGAACATATGTAACAGTGGAATTATTCAACTCTGAATTCGAAAAATCTGCGACAATTTCAAAACTGACAGATGTCATAATTGTGCAATGTCGCCATCTACAGGAAGATCGACGGAACCATTGCTCTCACTGTTCTCGAGAGGTCGAGTAAAATTTCTGAAACAAAAGCGCATCAGTGATTACACCATATCTTACTTCCATCATTATTCAACCACTGTTTTATTCATTTGTTGCCATTAGGAACGGTCAGAAGAAGATTTCCAGGCGAATTTTCATTGTTAAGTTTTGTGAATCGGTACGAAACGTACCTGCATCCGTATTCATATACTATCTATGTCTGATAATTGCCATACAAGAATCAAACAATCATGTTGTTTGAATCACATACATTTTCATTAACATGATGAGCATGTTTTTTCTCTTCAAAAAAGCGAAAGAGATCATCATAAAGATGGAAAAGTATAGGTTACATAGATTGTGTCGAGAAGTCATTGCCAATCGGTTCAAATAGTAAATGATGATCGAAAATAATCTTGCATTTAGCTGACAGGTAAAGAAAATGGGTAATTGAGTCGTATCGTACATGATTGTTTTTCAAAATGATGAAGTACTTTGAAAGCCTTAACGAAATCCCAAGCGTAAGTTCACGCTATAAAATTCAATCTAGAAAAAATCATGTTTGATAGTCAAGCAGCCATTGAGTTATATGGTTATCAGCTCTAAAACGGTTTGAGAATGCTGGGAAAAAGTGAACGGTCAGCCAACAAAAATATAGTCACCATTCTATGGGAAGAGTTCTGATGGAGTAGATGAAAATGAAGTAGCGGACAAACTCGCTAGAAAATACCCTTCGTTGGGCCAGAACCCTTCTGCAGCAGCAGTACTATCAGAAGAAATGAGGAAAGAAGAAGCTCAACAGAGATTAGATATCGAAGAATATCTTCAAGATCTAGGATAGTATACTAGTGCAGTAGTTATTATGTACCCATGGGCAAAGATAAACTTAGTATACTAACAGGAGTCCTAACGGGACCCTGTCGGTTGAGGGAACATCTTAGGTAGAAATAAACTCTCCACGTCTGATTTCTACCTCATTAATCCCTCTATTCGAATTGATATTAATATCACATACAGGGTATTGCATTTCATCATGACAAGGTTATATTCATGGGAATAGACAAATATTGCAAATATCAGAATTTCCATTTTTATGGCCGCCTTTTATCTTCCATTCGACTTCGCGGTTACGTATATTACTAAACAACCACTGAATTCGCAATTTTTTGAAATCAAATCACAGAATTAGACTGACAGAGGTGACATCAGATATTTGATTACTTCAAAAGAATGATAAAGATGCCTACAACGCAGGTGTCCCTACTGTTAAAAACTTAAAATTTCACGTCGATAATTTTCAGATTTCAAAATAATGTAATATCTTCTCAATATTGATTCGTCCTCTCTTCTGTCACAGAAAAAATTGTGTATTATACACGGGAAAATATTAGATTTTAGCTCACGGTTTTTTATCTCCCTCCGTTACGCGTCGAGAGACAACACAACCTGGAGCTAAAATCTACTACTTTTTTCCCTTGCACAATAAATAACTATTTTTTCTCGAACAGGACCATTATCAGTTGCACAGATGCGAAAGATGAGTTTCTTCCTTCACCTTGTTATCGAGAATCTTGTCGACTGGCTCGGCCACGAGCTCCTCCGTCTTCTCGTCCCTGCCCTCCGCCATCTTGCTCAACGAGTTGCCCTCCAGAGGGGCGCAAGGGGGCGTCGGGACGTCGCCGTCCCCCGCCGACTCGACGGATGCACAGCCGCCACCCAGCGACTGCTTCTGCGCCGGGCTGTTGCCGTTCGTCGCAGGTTCTTTGCCCGGTCTCGTCAGAGTACCTGAAATGAAGAAGGAACCATAATAGTACAGGAGTGCATACCCTGAAACTGTTGGATTCTGTCCAAAAAAGGGCAATTCGTCTCGTGGGTGATGCCTCACTCACAAACTCACTCACTTCTCTGGAACACCGTAGAAAAGTTGGCGATATGGCTCTATTTTATAGATATCGGGTCGATTCTGTTCGGATCTTGTTATAACATTGCTAAAATAATAATATTGTTATGATCATAACATATAACAATCTTGCTATGAAGTTCTGTATTCTGTTTGCAGAGTAACTGCAAGACTGGTTATAAGTTCAAGTGATAGCAATATTGTTGAAAAATTGAGAATTTTTGAGCTGACAACACTGTTTTCAACTCATTGTTTCAGTGTTAGGTATCGATGTTGCCATTATTTCATGAAGAAGAAGAGTTCATGATTATCTAACCTCTCAAATTAGTCAGTCATGCACTGACATTTTATAAAATTATATTGTTCAAATCGAGAGATTTTGTATTTGCTGAATCTGGTCGCCGTTGTGCGACTGGTGCAAGTAATCAATCATGTCCCCGGAATGAGAAAACAACTAAAAGCCGGATGAAAATAATCGTGATTTTTTTTTAATATTCTAGCAAAATAGCTTGATAAACTATCCATCAGGCAACTGAAATTTCTCTGATATGCCGAAATTGTAGTCTCAAATTTCCTCTACAAATTGGAACTTCAAGAAAAGGTTTTCAAGTAGTTGGTCACGGTAATGAACCTATCCTATATGTATGTAATCACCATTCTAAGTTTTTCAATAATTCTTCTATGAATCTAAACTTTGAGGAAAGGTTTTCGAGTAGTCAGTGACACAACTGAACTCTAAAATTTTTTCAATCCACTATTTTCTGAATTTTCATACAGTTGGAAGAATTTGTAGTGCAAAAACAAAAAATCCACTATACCTTGTTATAAGATAGCAAGCACGAAATTGATGTTGCCGAGATAGCAAGGAAGCTGACCAGATGTCATTGAAATTGACACATCATATTGCGAAAAATCGATGATTAGAATTCCACTTTTTCGAATCTTGCTATGATAGCAATATTTTCTCTACAACCATATTGCTATTTGCAAACAGAATCGACCCGATTTTCATGAACGATGCTCTTCTGAAATATCAAGAATTGTACCTCCCTTGGTAGTCCCCGCGAAATTAACCCGTCGAGTTGAGGCTTCGCACCCCTACGTGGTCACTTTGGGGACCTGCAGAACATCTCTTTCCAAAGACTCGTTCATCCAACGAACAGCGAGGCTCTGGAACACATCGCCAAGGGAGGTGTTCCCCGAGGCATACAACCTCCAGAAATTCAAGAAGAACACCAATTTCTACCTCATTTCCCTTGGTTATCACGATGTTCTTTGAACATTACAGGATATCCCTTTTCGTGGGAACCAGAACATAAAAAAAGGGAAAAAAATGCGAAGTATACACCGTGTCCCAGCTAAAATGTCCCCCCCTGTAAAAAATCAACCGCGCGATCGAATGACTTGAAATTTGGTCACTCAGTTTATTTGAGGATGCTCACTCGAAATATGCACACAGGGTCACTCCGAAGTGCACCCAAACTTTCCAATTTGAATAGGGATACCCAGTATATTATTCCATATTCAAGTAGAGTTCATTATAACAAATTCAACAATACCAGGTTTGATGGAATTTTTTCAAACGACTACGAAGATATGGCAAAAAATAAAATGATTCAATAAAAAATTCATATGATTAGATTTCATTAATATAACACGATTGAAATCGAATGAAAAGAAAATCCTCAACTGCTCAATATGTCGTCCATTCTGCTGCAAATATTTCCTAGCTCTTTTGATAACGTTCATTGTGACCCTATGCGATCAATTTGTGCGCATAAATTCGTGATTTTCGTTTTCATTTCTTCCATATTCACAATTGGCGACTCATAAACCTGTTGTTTCAAGTAGCCCCACAAATAAAAATCAAGTGGGGTGAGGTCTGGCGACCGAGCTGGCCAGTTGCTATCACCATCGAGACAATTGGTGGTTATTAGATTTTCTCCAAACCGATGGCGAAGATAATCCTTTACGGGTCAGTAGTTAAATTGAAAAATCTCGATTTTAAACACCCTATATCTCTGTAATCATTCCTGCTAGAACCCAAGTGTGATGCATTGATAAAATCAGCTCTTCAGGAAGAATCTTGAAACGCAATAAAATACAGGATAACATAGTTGCTAATTTTTTCTGATAGAAGTGGCAACACTGTATCGATGAAAATATTTTAGACGGATAGAGAATGTTCAATTATCAAAGCATCCCAATTCCCAGAATGTTCTGTCTTTTCGTTCTCCAGATACTTCTAATAGGCCCTCCACCGTGGCCCACCCTGTATAATAAATAGATGCAAAGCTCAAAGTCATTTCGACAAAGGTTCATAAAATGATTAACATTTGCAGACCCACCCACCTTTCTTTTGCTCTTCGCTCCCCTCCACCGGCTCCAGATCGTCCGTGTAGACGGCCAGCTGGTGCGCGCGCTTCTCCATGTCGCTCTGGTACTTGATCGGATTGGCCAGCGCCTCGGCAAAGTCCGACAGTCCGTCGGGCACGTAGTCCTTCACGAATACCTTGACGAAATCGAAAACGTTCATGAAGCACTATTTCGTATACAGTTCACTGCTACTGCCTGCAGCTACATATCTCAAAACCGTCGTAATTCCGCTTTGAGAAACTATGGACTCCTAGCAAAGATTCTCTCAACAAATTATCATCATCAAACATGCGCCTAGGACATAGCCTCAAATCCCATTTTTGTAACCAGTGGCGTTAAGTAAAATGTTCCATAACTGGTTTTGTCGTATGGAGGAAACTTCAAACTGACAAACGAAATATTGTACCCACAAAATGTTCAGCACAATTCATTAAAATTATTAATGTGAACAATTTGGGGAACATTTTTCTCGCCAAAATTTGAAGAAATATTGTACGTAACACGTTATAAGAATCATAATTTTGTGTAACTGCGATTTTATGTGATTTTGCTTCGCTAGTCCCGCAAAGTTTATCGTTACATGATCGTTACACATAACAAAGCGTTTCCTAACTGGTTACGTGAATATCTACTGGTTGGAACCAAATATTTATGGTTTGCATTGTTGCCTGTAATTAAAACTGAACTTAGCGATATTCATCCACGCGGTGAATATGGCAGTAGAAGTAAATCAAGTTATTAGATAACAAGCCATGATTAAAGTGCCCACACTACCAGAGGTTATCTAATCTAGAGTTCCCTAATGTACTTGACGTATTTATTATATATTCTGAATACAGACACTCTGACAAGCAGTGACAGACAGACATAACCATAGACTGATTAGATGAAAAATGCGGGAACTGACAATAAATAACAACAATCTCAAAAGTTTTTCAAACAAATTCATGCCCTTATAGTTTGGCAAAACAAATGATCTGCTTCAAAAATAATTTGTGATTATGTCTGAGTCAGTGATTGTTAAGTGTCAAGTACATTAAGGAACTCGGTAATATAAATCGTTGTTATGAGAGAAACCTAGGCTGAGTCAAGTCTCTGGTTTAAACGGGCACATTTCGTTCAGAATGAAGTTTGGCCATCCAAATGGCTGCCATTTCCGAATGTCAAGTCACTGAATAGCTAAAAATCTGAAGGGTATCTTCCATGCATTAATGAATTTGCGCCTTCGAAGTGCCCACCTGATGTTAGGTTTAGATATTTGATATTTCCATTTCATCATCTAAATAATCTTGATTTACGTATTGGTGGATGCACCTCCATATTTAAGGTCTGACCAATCAAAAAATGTACAATTATTGTCGTCACTCTATTTATAAAGTCACTCTAAATTGATGGAGCCACCAGTGAATATTGGCCCGTATTTATAGTCGTTTCCTCAAGAACTCCTCAAGTCATCCTCATCTGAGGATTCCTTGAGGACTTCCCAGCACTTGACGTAAAACATGTAAAATGTCAAATTTGACAAAAATACTTTATTTTTACTGTGGACATCGGAAATTGTTGGGTATTCTGTGTCGAAAGATTCTAATAATCCAGTGATTATCTTCAAAGGTTGGTTCAAATTAGGAATAACAACATATTTCTTCGATCACAGACAAAATATATCCAGGGTTCCACAAAATAGAGAAGGGGTTGAAGAGTTTATCGATGACGATGTTGGAAAATTACAATACAAAAATCAAACTCTATCAAAAACGGATTCTTTGAAGCTACAATGGAATAATATGTCAGAATCAATCATGAATGCTGAAAAAGCTATAGCAATAGTTAAAAATAATCTAGATTTTGACTTATTAACTTTAAATTTGAATAAAACAAAATTCATGACTTTCTCCTGTTATGAAGACTCACAACCAAACAATATAACAGAGTTGACAATTCATGATATAAACTGTTTCAAAAATATATCCAAAGAATCAAAAATGAATTGTTCATGTACCCACAAAATAAATAAAGTTGCTTTTATTAAATATCTTGGAATTTATATTGATCAACATTTAAAGTGGAATCATCACGTTTCAGAACTTACTAAGAAGCTCAGAAGTACTCTTCCAAAATTCAGATTTTTACGAAATATTGTTAATAGAAATTTAATCATAATGTTATATCATGTACTTTTTCAATCTATTCTGTCATATGGAATCATTGGATGGGGTGGTATGTATGAGACTCATCTCAAACCATTATTAAGTATTCAAAAATATGTTTTGAAAATAATTTTTCGCAAACCTTTGGATTATCCATCATCCTCATTATTTGTAGATAATCATATACTGAATGTCAAACAATTATTTTATAAAGCATCATTGAATTTCTTGAAAAAAAACACTGCATTTAGTAATAAAATTAGTCACAATTATTGTACAAGAAATGATAATGTTCAACTTGAAAAACATAATCTCAAAATCATGCAAAACCATAGTAGTTTTATTGGGTCAAAAATTTTTAACAGAGTTCCAACAAAATTGAGACGTTTGAATATTGTAACATTCAAAAAAAAAATTAAAATTTGGTTTTTGGATAATGCAAAAGAAATTGATAATCTCTTCAAATAATTTTTTTTGTTTGTGTGCTTTGTATATATTGAATTTATAATCAATATTTAATCTAAATATTTTTAAGAACTTGAAAATTTTTTACAAAAAGTTTATAATAATTATCTAATTCACACACAGGTCAATAACCTATGTGAAGTAGATAAAATTTAGAATTTTTATAATATTAGAATATGTATGTCTTTGTAAATGTATTCATATGAGGATAAATAAATAAATAAATAAATAAATTTGATTGAATACTTCGAATGAATCTGTGACTTTGTGTGGTTGTTCATTGAAAATTTATGTATTTCAATGTCATGACCAAATAATCAAGATGATACCTACATATAATGTTTCCATTATCTGTAATATATACCTATATTATTCGAAATAAAAAAAGATTCACTTTTCAACTGGACTTGAACCAGCTTCTACTGAAAATCGATATACGACTCGAATCAGATTCTCTGTACAAATTTCAAGATTTGAATATTCATTTGATTACCACCATGGACGTATAAGTTTATACGTTCATGATTACTTCATTCGATTTCATCAGTCCATTCATGGAGTCCAATAATATATTATTTAATTATCTAAACCTGAAATAAAACTAGAAATGGAATCAAGGAATGCTCAAGGCACCTCTTTACCTTCCTTGGAATTGACATTTTCTTGAGGCTTCCGTTGAGCTCATATAACGACTATAAATTGGAAACTGGTCCTTGAGGATGCCTTTACCTTCCTTGGAATTGACATTTTCTTGAGGCTTCCGTTGAGCTCATATAACGACTATAAATTGGAAACTGGTCCTTGAGGATGCCTTAAGGGACGAGGTCGCCTAACGATCGACTATAAATACGGGCCTGAAAGAACGTCCCTAAGCTTACGAACCTTGAGGAAGAGCGCGGCGAGGGGCAGCGGCTGACCGAGCTCGGTGCGCAGATTGACGTGCCGGTAGCCGGGACAGAGGCCGATCACAGGCAGGATGCGGTGGCCGATGAACTTGCCCGATTCCTCGTATGCCACGATGCGGATGTAGGCCAGCTCGGGCAGGACGACCTGGAAGAGGATTTGATATCAAGTTACCGGTGGAAGGGGCTTGATTTTTTAGTAGCGCTAATGAATGCAAGTACTTATACCGGTCCGAAATTCAATTTTTCTTCAACACTCTGGCTGCCGAGACCCTGTTTTTCTCTCTCCATTACAAGCTTTGTCAGTCATATGTGACCGACGGTGACTTATATTCAGTTCGAGCCGTGTCATGCGAAATCGATCGACGAAGCATACAAATCTCCATCAGATCTGAATTCGCGGCGCTCAAATGAACGTATGTGAATTTTTTGTGGCGCCACTGTAATTTTTAGCTACAATAATGCCTCAAAAACGTTTGTTGCATAAAATGTGAAAAAACTCATAGACATATCTAATAGTAAATTGTTTCATTAGGATCAAAAGTGACACTTTGTTTGACAAGCGAATTTTGCATTTGCGAGGCGGAGCGTTTAGCGAAGCCGAGCGAAAGCAAAATTTGCCGTTCTGCGCATAACTTTGAAACTCTATTTTTCTCAAAAATGCACAGCACATTCTGTGATTTTGGTATGTATCAAGTTTTTTGATGATGATGAATGAATCGAGATCGGATAAATGCAAAAAATATAGTTTAAAAGCATCCAAAATGCACTTACGCTTATATAAGCTAAATTAAGAGAATCAGAACATCTAGAATAATTATGGAAGAAAGATACTATAAACCTCGCTATAAACAAAGTATTTTTTCTCACTGGAAAATTGTAGTAAGGTCTGTTGCTGACTCGGACACCGGTAAATTTATAATATCGATATGTCAAACTAGTAGATACGGTGTTATAAGTAAGGAATTTGTGATACGGTTCTTTAAGCTAAAAAGGGATCTGATTATCAACTCGTATGATTAGCTTATAACGTGGTAAATAACCATATACTGTTTTTTCACCTACAAAATGTCTGTTACGGTAATCTAATATACAACTACCTCCTCATGACGTAATTTTAGGAAATTTTCAGGCATTTCTGATACAGACACGGCATTTTAAGCTACATAAATAGATTTCTTGTCCTCGATTCTATTGGGCTGACATCTAACCCCAAAATCATGAAATATGCAGATACGGCCCTCTTCGTTACGACGGCAGTGTTTCCATCACCATTTTTTACAGATGTCTTGATAAAGGAAATAAACATTTCCGAAAGCTCGGCTATATAACGAAGAGTTCTCATTTAAGGCCAAAATTTTGACTGCTTCCCCAACACGAAGAAATATTGTGATATTTTTTCTACCTTTAGATATTTTACGTTATAAATATATATACAATTAAACATTCAGAACACTTCAATAAACACATATAAAACCACAGAAACTATCTGGGCGATAGTTTCTACGTTGTGAGGCAATAAAAAATAAATAGTAATAGAAAAAATATATATGTATAGATAGAATTCAGTACTTGAATAATTTAGCAAATATCTATTAACAAAAAAGAAAATGAAAAGATGAGAAGTTATTTCACGTGACAGAATCTAAGAATCATCAATGCATAACTATGGCATCACAACATGATGAAAATAGACTGGTGTAACCACTTGTCAATTGTTTCTTTCCAAAACGTGTAGACCGCGAAACACCGTAGCAAGGCCGCCGGATTGACTGTAGATGGCGTAGGGAACATCGTGCCAAATATACTTCACAGATATAATGAAAATTTCACGTCTTTTTCATTAAATCAATCACTTTTTCTCAATGTTTTTGAATTACGAATTGATATATGTAAATGTAAACAACAAAACAAAACAACCATTGTGTAGCAAGATCACTTCGGGAACAGCGCCATCTAGCGTTAGTTTTGCGCGGCCTTACTACGGTGGTAGAATTCGACATAATCAAGTAGGCCAGAGGTCTACAAAATTTCCAGGGTTTTGTAAGAGGGGGCTATTTCACCATACATATATCCACCTTTCATCACAATCAAATCAAAACATGAAATCAGTTATTTTTCATTCAAACATTGTTAATTGATTCATGTATCTTTCTTCTTGATCTATTCATTACATAACTTTTAACTTCAGTCTTTTGAGCGTTTTTTCATTTTTTATATTTCCGGCAAGGTGTTATATAATTTAGTCCCTAAGTACAGGTAACTTATCTGTCCGATGTATTTGTTCATAATGGGTGTAACATACTCTTGTTTCGGAGCATCGGCTGGGGATAGTCCTGCACGATTCGCTGTTGCGTTCCAATTAACAGTGCTGCTCCTAAAGTGGCGCATGGAGTTAGGTAGTAACAAAGCCTACACAGAACACGCAGGAAGATATGATGATGTGGTTGTGAGCATCAGAGAAGAAGTAGGACGGTGTATGTAGGTGGGTGTGGAAAACTACCAGCTGAGCGTGAGAGCGGGCCAGCTGCTTAAGTAGACCTCGGTCTCGGGGGTTAACGATGATAGTTAGCAGGCCTGCCCCTGCGCATATGGTAGTGAGTACATTACTAGCCTACAAAATACAGCTGAAAAACTCTGAAAAGAGAGCTGATGGGCGGTGCCTGAAAAGGATGTTAGCCAGCTTTCTTGAGCGAACCACATCAGTCATTGAAAACACTTGGGGTTTGCAAAAAGGTCCCATTGGGGACTAGTTGCTGACGTGGAAACGTCCCCCACCAGTACCAGTACCAGTGCCAGTACTCTTGTTTATTCCTGGTTTCATAGACATGTGTACGACGTTGTAATCTACTTCTGTTCAGGTATTGTCTCATATTGACGTGCAAATAATATATTTGTCGAATATCTAATACTTTCGCTTCGACAATAAATGGAAATGAATAAAAAATAATAATTTGTCTACTGTCGTCCTCACCTTTTTGAACACGAACGGCTCCTCCTCGTAGACCGGATTGATCCCGTTGTTGGGCACCACCTTCGTGCGGAACCGCTTCCTGACAGTGTCGGCGGGCAGGCCGTACATCTCCACCTCGACATAGGTGCCGGCCCTTTTGTCGGTGAGGAACTGGCCAGAGATGACCGTGATGCGGACGGCGCCCGCTATGATGCCGTCCACCGTGTTCTCGGCAAAGGGATTCAAGCTGAACAAAACACATATTATTATTGTTATACGACGCTATACATAGTGGAGTATACTACGGCCTTGCCAAAAATGCTATCTCGGAAACTAAGCGAGATAGAGGTATAGTTACTTTGGAGAAAATGATCCCCATCGAATTTTGAGCAACTTTGGTTTTTGTGTGCGGTCTGTCTGTCTGTACTCTGTGGTAATCATAAATCGATATATCTCCGGAACCCTTTGACATATCGATTTGAAATTTTGCCATCTTATTGTACTCAATACAGTATTATGTCATTGGAATATGAAGGAAATCGGAAAACTCTAAGGTGGTTTTTCCGGGTTTTTTCGATTTTTCACCGGAAGTTTCTTGTGACCACTCTACAAATCGCAAAAGTGGTCCAATCGATTTCATTTTTTGTGAAAAAAAACTCTATCAGAGACGAAGCCTATTGAAATTGAGCAGGGTCGGGAAATTCCAAGTGGGTTTTTCAAGATTTTCCGAAACACACGGTTCGCTTTAAAACGACATATCTCCTGAACCAATAGACTAAATCCGAGACTAAATCCAAATTTGAAAAATGCACCGTATGCCTCTTTGATGACGCAACAAATTATTATTTCACCATTTTTTCGTGCATCCATCGGAAAATGGAAAAACAAATGAAAATCAAAACATCAAAATTTGAAATCCTTTCAATTCAATATATATCGAAAACAAATGGAAAAATCGGAAATTATCAGGAGTGCAAAGTTATCCACTGGAACATTTCCTACAAATTATTACCCAAAATTTTTTCTGTAAACCCAATAGTACAGGAAATAAAGTGAAAAATATGAAAAAAAAATTTGAACGACCCATAGGGTACCATGAAGATATATTGAAAAACAAAAGATTATCGATAGATGAAGATCATCGACTTCCACTGAACCATGGAATATTTTTTCCTTTTGTTGATTGGAAGATGGAACAAAAGTGTTGAAAATTTTATTCTCAGATGATTCCAAATATCTCGAAAACAACTGGAAATATCTGAAAATGTTATAGAACCAAAATTATTCCTTTTGATAGAATCTACAAAAATCCTTATAACATTTTTCTCTGAATTCAATAGTTCGGGAGATACGATGAAAAAACTGAAAAATTTACAAGTTCATAGATATCACTTGCCAATAGAAAACGAAACAAAAAACAAAAGAAAGTAAAAAAAACTCACTCGACTGTCTTTATTTTTCGCCAATAAACTAGGTACCTAGCTCACTCGACTGTCTTAATTTTTTGCCCATAAACTACGTACCTAGCTCACTCGACTGTCTTGATTTCCCACACAGAAGAAATATGTTCGCAAGTTTTAACTTTCTTTTGTTTTTGTTTTTTCAGTCCCCATTGGCAGTCGAGTGGGCTAGGTACGCAGTTTGTGTGGAAAAACCAAGACAGTCGAGTGGGCTAAGTACGTAGTTTGTGGAAAAAATCTCCAGTTCTCTGAACTTTCATAGCGTCGTATACACATCTTTGGTGCCCAATGATAGTTTCAATATAAAAATATGCTCATGATATGGTGCCATGGCCTCTACTTCCATCTTACATGAGCAATGATAAAATATCATCTGCTTTTATAGCGTCTTATAAATTATCTGACCCCTATACTAATCTAATACCTAATGAAAACTACATCTATACTAATCTGATACCTTTCAAAAACTACGTACCTCACTTGTTTTCATCTACTCACTGCATCGAAAGTATGCGTTTGCTCCATATATCTGCTACTAATATATGAGGTATAGCTGTCCTCAAAGCGATACCAACTTCTGTCTCTATAGGTAACGAAATCTACCAATAGGCGTTGATGCCGACGTAGGGAAAAAATAATACGAAACTTGTCAAACCAATATGGCTATTTTCATCCTTCACTTTCCGTCCTTATAGATTCAAAAAGTACCTCTCATTTTGGTCCCATTTTTGTTGAGATATGGGATATGCGATGGGCCATATATAGAAATAGTACATAATATATGGTTTGCTCCCTCATTTGAGGACACAACCCTGTCAATTTACTCCCACGGGAGGAAAAAAAATATAACCTCACGTGGGAGGTAAGATGAATTGTCTGCATCACTACTATAAAACAAATAATAATTCAATTTTTGAACTCCAATAATCTCAGACACTTCCTCATAATATTCCAAACTTACTCAATCAAGACTTCAAATGAAATGTTTATTACACAATAAAAAAATTTAATGTGACAAATTGATTTTCGTCCAAATAGAGTGTCTATAACTGTAAATTTGGATCGAGATTCGAGAGATAGACCGCTCGAAGTACAATTTTAAAAACGATGCTCTCAAATATGCATGCGTTCGTGGATAATATATCATATATATATATATATATATCATTAATATTGTTCGCCTGAAAAGGGTTCTGCTCAATGGGCAGGAACTCCCAAACTGTCGTTCATGACATCGAGTCATGTTTCTGGTGTTCGGAAACATGAGTAAGAGTGAGAAAGATATACCCATGACAGGTCCTAAACGTGAATGATGCCTATTTAGGCCACCGATATAAATAAGTATTAAGTATACTCTAGGTCTAGATTAGAGTGACTTTATAAATAGAGTGACGACAATAGTGATACTTTTGAATTGGTCAGACCTTTAATATGGAGGTGCATCCACCTGTCTTGTTTTCTCCATTCAGTACGCATTCTATTTCACTTTGTCGATGCGTTGTCTCTGTTTTTTGCTCTTTGGAGACAAATCATTCAACAATCAGACATGAAACTCTATACGTCAGTACCTTGAATATTGACTATTAGAATCTCTTCTTTCTTTTCGTCTTTTAGGACTCGTGAGTCTCAGTTTATTTAGATGAGGAAATGAAAATATCAAATTTCTAAATCTAAAATCAGGTGGGCACCTCGAAGGCGCAAATTCATTGCTGCATGTGAGAGACCCTTCAGATTTTTTTCTATTCCATGACTTGCCACGAATGACATTCCGGAAACACCAGCCATTTAGAGGTCCATTGTCGTCACTCTATTTAATCTACTCACTCTACTCTAGATAATAGTATGTCAGTGTAAAAAAAAAACATCGCATGATAAATGCAAAACTACCAATCGGCGAGTGGAAAACGCTAGTAACTCGATATGAACAAATTAATAATTTGAAATCAAACGTTGGGGTTCTTATACCTATTAGATTAGATGTGAGATGTTTATAAGTTATAGGTGCCGTACCCTATGGTGAATTTCCATATTTGGTAAAACTGATGATTATTTGTAAAGGAATACCTCGATTAGAAAACGCTGTGCGGAGAGGCGGTAATTCGTGACGTGATGTCATCATGTTGAGTTCATAGAAATGTATGCATAATTCTAAATCACAGCTAGATAGGTGAATCTACTTAAGATAAATGTGAGGTCATTGTCGATCTACATGAAAACCTAGTAGGCGACCTAGTACGCGCTCTTGCCTACTAACTACCCAACTAGGTTATCATCTAGAACAACAATGGTGAGGTAAAATGAGAATGAAATGCGATCAGGAAATCAAATTGGCACAAACCTTTTATTCGTCCGCCGCATGAACTCAGGCTTGAGCAGATACCCGCACCTGAAATTGTACTCGAATATGCCGAGGTTGAGCTGCATAGCCAAATCCAATGTTTGGTAGTTGAGGGCGACCAGTTGACAACCAGCGTTCCAGAACACCTAAAGATGAATCAAATACAAAAATATACCCAAAATTGAATGATTAATTGTCTTCTTTATTATACCAAAAAATATATCCCACTAAACATTAAACCTTCCAGAAATATTTCAATTCTACCCTATTGTGAATTGTTCGAATCAGACCCAGACGTTTTGTCCAGGTTTCCCGAATATTTTTTAGTTGCAAGAACGTTTGAACGATCACAAAATGAAACGTTTAAAAAGAATGCAACCATTGAGAATCCATGTTCTAATGCTGCTTCTGCTTATGTTTTCTGTTTTTTGTTGTGTTGCCTACACCTATTCTACATCATAATAAATAGGTACCTATCACTATAGAAAATCCAAAATCAAAAAACAGATGCTACTATACCACGCCATCGATGTTAAACTGTATACTTATAATTATATTCTAGTTCAACGCTTATTCAATTTTCATTATTGTTTATGCCCACACTTTGGTATCCCGCCTCAAATAGTAGATGATAGCGAGTGATATGTATTTGGTATGTTGAATTTCTTGTTGCTAAGGAAAGTTATATTTTACTTCAACGCTTATTCAATTTTCAATATTGTTTATGCCTACACTTTGGTATCCCGCCTCAAAAAGTAGATGAGAGCGAGTGATATGTATTTCGTATTTCGAATTTCTTGTTGCTAAGGAAAGTTGTGATGGATTGGAGACGGGGTTGTGAATGGGGAAAGGGAATAAATCGGTATCGGGACAAGACAGTATAAGGTCAGAGGGAGACGACTGAAACGAGACGAGAGTCGATGATAGCTTAGACAGCATGAGATGAGCCTGAGCTCACCAAATCGCCAACTACAGTCCTATTTCGAGTTTGCGAAATACCTAGTCATCCAATTGCATAGTTTCGAGGAGCCAAAAAGGGTCATCAGGATTCACAAAGTATTTTATCAAGAATGATTCCACATCCGATGGAAATGTGGATGACATTGGTGTACGGCACGGTTTACCATCATGAGAAGCTGTTAACATGAAAGGTAGGATCCATATCCTTTTGGCAATCGAATTATATTTGTTGGCTCAACATTCTTTCGCCGTTTCGGGGAGAGTATATTATGTTTCGGAGATATTAGTTGAAAGTGTTCAGTAGGATATGTTGGGCTAGTGTGAACTTGATTAGACTATTTGTGTTTGTGAAATGAGAATAAGTAGTAGTCAATGTATCTTTATTTCAACACCATATCGACTTTCTTTGAAGAGTTGATAAAACTATACGAAATTGGAAACCATTATGAAACGTGTCCAGGACAGTTTTTTTGAAACGCATCCAAGACAGTATTGTTGGAATGAGACTCAAGTGGAAAGGTTTCAGATATCTGTAATAAGGGCGCCGTACATTATGCTATTTCTCGGCAAGTTTGAGGCAATGCAATTTCTTCGCAATTTTCTCAATTTATTGCAAGTCGCCGTACATTTAGATATTTCTGTCATATTTTCTCGTTCATATTCACTATTTTCAGGTTTTCTGATCCTACAATGTACTTTTCGAAGTTATTTGGTGTTTCAGGCCACGTTATGGAGAAAATTTATATTTTATCAAGATGCTACGATGAATATAACTAAAAATTTCACTAAACTTGCCTTGAAATTGCAGGAAAGATAGGACTGGTTCTATTAGGAAACTTGCATGAAACTTGCCTTGAAATATCATAGAACTTGCTGGTAAATAGCATAATGTACGGCGCCCTTAAGACATTTCTGAAACGTTTCTGATACAGAAATATGTTTAGTAGGATCCGATCAAAATAAGGATACATGAACAAAAAATATCATTGAAATCATGAAAAAAATAATAGTTAGTAAACAAATTCTGACTTGGTATAATTAGAGTTACTTGAAGTGCTTGACACTATTGTTTCGACGATTTTAAATACAATGCCCGTCAAAATCCGTTTTCCCCTACTGATTTTTGAACTACCTAGTATATCACAAAGCAATTTGGAGGATTCGAATAGGAGATGAATATCTAGTTTTTTATGGTAAATATGACAGCATGAAAAGTATATAGCTTAGTGCCGTGTCTCCAAAATCATACAACGAAAAAAAAAAACTAAGTACGTTTCTGGATTCTGCGCAAAGTTCTTATGGCAACATTATTTCAGATAAACTTCGTAGATATACAAGGGACTCAGAGTTTAAATTTTCAAAGTATCTCGTAAGAAAAAAAGTAGGACAGGAACGTGAAAACCACAAGGTTCTACCTTAAGAACAACCGAGAAACCTAGCAGTCTCAACCAAAAATGTATGAAAATTCATTATTACCTGCGGCATGAAGTTTGACGAGTCGAAGCGAGTACCCGCCGGATAGACCCTGCTCAGCTGGTGCTTGTTGTAGTTGACGAATTGGATGGGGTACTCTTTGAGGAGGGCGGTGGCTTGTTTTTCGTCAAACGACGACATTTCGTAGCTGCGATTTTTTTCTGCAGGAAAAAAACCAAAGATATTCATTCGTGAAGTTCAATATATATTTTTTTCAAGTTACACAATTGAATTCGTTCAAAGGTAATCTATATGTATAAGAATGGGTTGCGTGCAAGAACTGTCAGATGACCGACCCTGGAGCATATACGTATTAATAATCAATACGGATAATCTCTATCTGTTTCCATAGCGAAACATGAAGCCGATTTTTGAAGACAAATGACTATCCATAAGGAAAAGTTTTGAAACGATCAGACACATATACTGCTTTGATTGAAAGGCTAGTAAACGTCATTGTCCACCGAAACGAATGTCTTTAATGACTACTATAATAGCGCATGGCGCATGAGTATCATGCCACCAAATACTTATGGATATTCATTTGTTTCATATTTTTGGATTCATCCTGGCACCCTTTATGATCCGTATTGTTTATTAATACGTATATGCCCTGGAGGCTCAACATTGAAACACAACCTCACTTTTCTTATTTGTTTGCAAGTGATTGAAATAGTTTTTCACAATTATTTTGGCATATGAATCGTATTTTTCTGGTATTCATTAATTCGCTTATGCCATCACATTGTGCTGTTGTACAATGCACAAAAACTGCAGCAGAAGACTATAAGGAATCCTGTTGGTACATTATATTATGTTTCAAAAGTAAGTACCTACTATAGTCACTCACATATAGTTTTCATTTTTGAAATTTGGTAATTTCTCTTATTTCTCATCGGAATTCCTTCTGCAATAGGAGCTAATAGAAATACACATGAAATTTCTAAAATAATGCAAGAATATTGGATTCATGCAATCAAACGGGAGGACAGGTCTGACATGCTGAATGCTGACAAAATATTATCGTGTGTGTTGTAGACAATTTCAATCTATTAGCAGTATTAGCTTGTATTGCAGAAATGGCAGAAGGAATTTTAATAAGGAATGACAACATTTCATAATGATAACTATGTGAGATTACTATTTACCTGAAAAATCATATTCCTTCGTCTCTCGCTGGAATTAATGAATAGCGCAAAAAACATGATTCGTTTGCCATAATATTGAGAAAAACTATTTCAATTCTTTGATTCCTCTGTAACCAAATGAAAAAAGTGAGGTTGTGTTTCAATAATTCACAGAAGAGTGAGGTTGTGTTTCAATATTTTGCCTCCAGGGTCGGCCATCGTGCACGCGACCTATACGAATACTCATTCAGGTAATTGTTTTTTTAAATACTCACTTTAAAATGCATTCAGTTTATTCCTTTATCATTTTCAAACAATTCAACTCCCGAAACATACTCATACGAAATGTCATTTCAATGTTGCCACTATAGTTACGACATAATAAAATATGAATAAAATTTTCGATTATTTACACTAAGGATCAATCTCTATGTAAAATATTCAAGCCAAAGCTTGCCTTTCCTACAAGGCTCTAGCGAAAAAGCAATATCTGGCCTATTTGTCTATACTCTCGGAATCTGCGCGAGTCCATCTATCTGCAAGTTTCTGAACTATCTAGAAATATTCTTCTGCCTGAAGCAGGAAAACCACTAACTTTGATATCCTGAAGGCTTTTGAATAAAAATATTTAAATGCGGCCCTGATAAGACATTCTTTCATGCATAAAAACATCTAAAAATACACTTCGGAATTATTCTGCATTACCGATCTCTGCCCTTCGGTACTCAACAGAAAGTAACTGCTCTTCAACAATAATTGAAAACCACGTGACAGGTTACTATGTATCCAAGAACACATTCATATCTCTTTAACGTGGGTGGAAAAGAGACACCGCATCGAAAATTGTAACGTTGTGGCACTCAATCATTGTTGAAGGGTAGTTCATCTTTATTTATTTTTTCAACAACTTAGAATAATATCATGAATACCAAGAGGGAAACAACTCTTTAAATAGGTGTACACCTTGAAATTTCAAGTAATTAAATACCATTATCAATACCTACATTAAGTCAGCTTCCATATGCTCTCGAGTACTTCAAGTACTAGTACCAAGTATTCAAAATATCGCTTTAAATACTTTAATACTCTTTGAATATGGTGTACACATTTTGAGCAGTTGTTTCCCCCTCGGTGAATACGGATGCTATTACGATCATTTCTCACTGAGCAAACCCAGTCTATTTTGTAGTGTCCTACCTATCCTTACCTTTTTCTTGTATAAAATAGTTATTTTATGGAAATCAGAACTTACTTTCGGCATTTTCAAAACTTGAGAAATGAACTGGTTGTACATAATTAACAAGTGCTGAAATTTCGGCACCGGCTTCAGTTTCATTGGCTGGGGCGGGTTTGGCTTCGCCCCCTTCCTCGGTATTATTCTCGATTTGTGCTTCCGTCGTTTCGATAGTTTCCACTTCATCATCACTAGAAGAATCTTCATCCTCTGTTGCAGTAGATTCTTTAGAACCCTAAACAAATAATCAATTGATAGACTCATTTGATATTTTCATTAGTGGAAAATGGCTGATTCAAGTTCACATTTCCCAAGTGATATCGAGGAAGCAGCATAAAATGCATTATCCTTTTCGTCCTTCCATATTTTTATTACATATAACTGGTATTGTAATGAACATTTCACCACCAGTATGTCATATTATTATACTTCACGCAACTGATTACGTAAAGTAAGACGTTTCAAAATTCCCTCCACTTACATGTCAAAATCAGAAAATAGTATATTATTATACAAGTTTTATGAGACACTATTTGTCCCACGCGTTGTTTGGAGTACAATGAGCGAAGCGAGGAGTGCTCCAAATGAACTAGTACGACAATAATGTCTTATAGAACGTGTTCAATATAATATTTTTCTATTTTGCATTCATTTGTACTCTTTTATTTGAAAAAATAATCAATGAAAAACCTAGGGCCCTTGAGGTCCTACTAGGTCTGCCCCCTTTACATCTGATTGTAGAGCATGAAGCCATGCGCACTGCCTACAGACTCAAAGGTGCAAACCAATGGATCGAAAAGGCAGACTATGGACACTCCCTAATATGGAACAAGGCCGAAGAAAGCTGTCCCAGTCTGCTGATGGTAAGGGACAGCACTCTGCCAGTTCTGAATTTCAATAAAGCTCCGCATGTCATTTTTCCTACAAGAGAGGAATGGACTGGCAATACACCAGGCTTGCTTCCTTCCAACGAATCAACCTGGTTCACGGATGGCTCTAGGTTTGGTGGCAGGTCTGGTGCAGGAGTATATGAAGGAGGAACAGGGAAAGGAATCTCAGTACCTCTTGGCAAATACGCTTCAGTGTTCCAGGCCGAAGTGTTTGCAATTCTGACGTGTGTCCAAGAAAATTTCGGCAGAAGTGGACGTGGACCAGTCACCATATGCTCGGACAGCAAAGCTGCTATTATGGCATTGAGATCCAATAGGATCACAACTAAATTGGTGTCCGAGTGTAAAAGTGCCTTAGAAAATATGGCAAAAACTAGGAAAGTCAGCCTTATGTGGGTTCCAGGACACTCTGGTATCCCGGGGAACGAGGAGGCAGACAGACTAGCCAAGATCGGTTCAGGAACGACACCCATTGGACCAGAACCGATATTGGGAATACCCAATAGTACGGCTATGTCCTTCATGAAGGAAATGCTACAGAGGCAGTTCCTTGAAACATGGTGCGACACACCAGGAATGAGACAATCAAAGCTCAAAGCAATAGAAGGGATCTCAAGATGGTAGTTGGGCTCTTAACTGGGCACAACCACCTCAACAGGCACCTAGAACTCATAGGGATCAAGGATGATCCCATCTGCAGATGGTGCTTGGAGGATGATGAAACATCATCACACATACTAACTGAATGCCCCGCGCTGGTGCATCAGAGAAAAGCTGCCTTTGGGAGCATTGTACTGCACCCAAAGGATGTGAAAGTGACTCAGCTGAGGAAGCTGCTGAATTTCGTCAAAGAAATCGGCATGCCCAGCTGATTCACAGGACAAGTGGGCGCACAATGGGCCCGACTGAAGAGGCCTGAGTGCAGGGGTCTACGCACCCGCCCACCTGTGCAGAGAAGAAGAATCAATGAAAACATCAAATATTAGAAAGACATGAAGTAAGTATAGTTGGTAACAATGAAAAAAACATTTGAATGTTCATTCCCAAATTTGACAAATGGTAGAAAAACTATTCAAATTAGGTAACATCATTATTCCAGCGATATAATTTGAAATTGTTGGTTTATCAAAATTCTGAATTTCCTATTTTGAGAATAACTGGAAGACGCAAACATAAGTTGACCCCTCCTGAACTGTGAGAGTTTGCCCAAACAACTATAAATGATTTGTTGCCCAAGAAACCTCGTCCAGCTTATGAAAAAGAATTCCACAATTCCCAAGTATGGTGTCAAACTGGCGACCTCTATACCACCACAATATGTAAATGTAAACGTTTCTTGTTGACCTATATACCGTAATGGTTACTGCATAAATAAAATTAACACAATTGAAAAATGCCAACAATCATTGCAGAATATCTTGAATTACCAGATCCTGAGATTTTTACAGTTTTTTCGGCGTTCTAGTGTGTCCCATTTAGCAAATAGAGGCGGTGAGATCTTCAGCAGTTGCTGAACGTTACATATTATAAGCTTCTGTGGAGATAATGTTTTTTTCTCAGCCTTCAACTTCTACAACAGTTTCTGATGCCTCTACCTCACAGTCGCATTGCACAAACATTAACTTAAATAATCCGACTAATGAGCATAATTTTGTCTCAACAGCAGCCCAACAAAACTTATCAGCCAATTTGGTAGGTAATAAATGCTCAAGATACCTGTAATGTTATAGTTATTTGTTGCGTTCTGTCTCTAGACGCTAGTTTGTCTGACAGTTTGACGTTGACGCTATCATTACCAACTTTGAAACAAGAAATTCAGCGTGTCCTAATAGAAGCTGTTTCGATACGGATTTGGGTGTCATAATTACTTCATTAAAGACGCAAAATAGAAAAAGATAGTTTTTCTTCGCATTATTCTCATTTATTTCAAGAATAGCTCACATTTATGAAATATTATCAATTTTACCTGTCTTGTCTGTGATAGAGGCACGTGAGCAACATCTCCGTTACTCAAATTTTCTGCGCTTTGGACTTCTGGAGAAGGGGTGACGACTCTTTTATGATGATGGTGGTGGTGGTGGTGATGGTGTTTTTTCTTATTCTTTATTATGATTTTTCTTCTCAGTACAGCCGGGGGAGGTAGAGGATTACCTGTAGATGAACAAATGTTACTAGTATAAAATACCTTTATTCTTGTTTTTTATGTATATAATAAAGTTACCACGACAACACACGGCAATCTCGACGTCTAGAGTAACGTAAAGTCTTAAAATATTAACATTTTAATTATCGAAGTGGGAAAATTTCACTGTTTTTTGCGAACATCTCAAAACGCGTCAGAAAATTTTGTTGAATTCGGATTCAGCACCCCGAGAAATATGGGAAATGATGAAGAAACTGACTACTGGATTTTTTGCATCGTTAAACTACCATTTGCCTGTATTATTGGCAACATTTTCAGCATCTAACCGCCTCATGAGCTTTTCTCGTCTTACCCGGTTCCAATTTATAATTCTCTAACGGCGTTTCCAGCAGCATGTCTCCGAAGATCTCCTTGCAGTAATTAGCAATCTTCGCCTGCTGCCGCGGGTTGCAGTGGTTCTCGAAGGATAGCACCACAGGGTAGTCCGAGGTCTTGAAGGCGGTCTCGGCGATGGCCTCGAGCACCTCCCTAGCGGAGATTTCAGGTACGAACGTGTAGCCGTGCACGATGATGGGCTCATCGGTCCTGCCGTTCCAGAAGTCGAGCTCCACGCACCTTCAAACCGAAACAAATCGATTTTTCATTGAAATAGAACACATTTTCCGTGAGAAACAAAATCTTGTACACACCATCACGAGATCCCGTAAATGAATCGTGTTTAGTACTTGTATGATCCTGTATGTATAATAGTTTGGTACTTGCATTACCCTATATAGTATAGGAGATGTTCAGTTGTTAACATGATGACGTGTTGAAAAAAATAAGATTCATCAATAAAATCGATAAACATATAGACGGATTGTAATTCTTATATCAATCTTTATTTCATTATCATATCCATACGAATACAGTCCACTTTCTATCTAGCATCGAACATATTGGTCCTTCGCGCCGGAACTGCTCAAATCAAACCTTCAAGATTGCCAAGTTCTATCCAAAAAGGATACAGAGTAGCAATCAAGACTACCTGGACAAACAATGGATGCCAAGCAGCTTGAGCTTTCACAGGTAGCAACAAGCAGTTCAAGCGAACAGATTGAACGCCTAGGAATGCCATTTCACTAGCTGGCGATTCATCGGATTCGTCATCAGAATGCGGACACTTATTCATCAGATCGTTGTAGAAACTATTATGAGTGAATCAAATTGTTGAAGTATAGAAAAAGTGTATATCTCTAATTCCTCGATTTAGATTGTTCCTTGAATCTATTTGGATCAGTTATAAGGTTTGTCCTACATATATTTCGCCACAACACAACCCTCGAGACTGATTTAGTAAATTTCCGATTTCTCGAGTATTCTACAGAATTTGAATTTTTTTTTGTTCGTCCACAAGTACACACCTGCACCCTGCACATCTCGGTGCTCGACTTACCCGTCAGCTGGTGACCCGTCAAGTAGGTATTCCGTGAATCTATTCGGACCAGTTACCTAGTTGTTAGTAAATTCCCGATTTCCCGAGTATTCTACAGAATTTCATTCATCAGTTATTTAGTTGGTCCTACATATGTTTTTCGAGTGTGTCTGCCAGCAGGCACTGTTTGTATACCTCGGTAAATGTACCAAAATGTTCCTTGGATCTATTTGGATCAATTATCTAGTGTGTCCTACATATGTTTCGCAACAACCCATCCAGAATAATTTCGTGAATTTCCGAATTCTAATGAATTTCGAAAAATTTGTCTTGTCCACATGTACTGCACTGCCTGTACATCTCGGTGCTCAACTTCCCCGTCAGCTGGTGCCCCATCAAGTATGTGTTCCTTGAATCTTTTTGGATTAGTTACCTAGTTTGCCCTACCTGTGTTGCGCCACAACACAACCTTCGAGAATAATTTAGTAAATTCCCGATTTTCTGAGTATTCTACAAAATCTCGAACATTTTTTTGTCCACTGCTACCCACCTGCAGCCTGCCAACAGGCACTGCCTGTACATCTCGGTGCTCAACTTCCATGTATTTGATTATAATGGCATATTTATATTAGACGTTACTTTCAAATGTTCCTTGAATCGATTTGGATCAGTTATTTAGTTGGTCCTACATATGTTTTTCGAGTGTGCCTGCCAGCAGGCACTGTTTGTATACCTCGGTAAATGTACCAAAATGTTCCTTGAATCTATTTGGATCAGTTATCTAGTTTGTCCTACATATGTTTCGCCACAACCCCTCCAGAATAATTTCGTGAATTTCCGAATACTTGAGAATTTCGAAAAATTTGTCTCGTCCACATGTACCCACCTGCAGCCTGCCAGCAGGCACTACCTGTTCATTTCGGTGTTCGACTTCCATATTTATAAAGACGTTACTTTCAAATGTTCCTTGAATCGATTTGGATAAGTTATTTACATATGTTTTTCGAGTGTGCCTGCCAGCAGGCACTGTTTGTATAACTCGGTAAATGTACTAAAATGTTCCTTGAATCTATTTGGATCAGTTATCTAGTTTGTCCTACACATGTTTCGCCACAACCGCTCCAGAATAATTTTGTAAATTTCCGAATTCTGAAGAATTTCGTTACCTAGTATGCCCTATCTATGTTTCGTCACAACACAACCTCCGAGACTAATTCAGTGAATTCAAGATTCCCGAGTATTCTACAGAATTTCGAACATTTTTTGTCTACAGCTACCCATCTGCAGCCTGCCAGCAGGCACTGCCTGTACATCTCGGTGCTCGACTTCCCTGTATTTGATTATAATGCTATACGAGATGGTATATTTATATAAGACATTATATTACTTTCAAATGTTCCTTGAATCAACTTGGAACAGTTATTTAGTTGGTCCTACATACGTTCTTTGAGTGTTTCCCATAGAACTTCGAACATTTCTTTTCGTCCACATCTACCCACCTACAGCCTGCCTATTTGCATACCTCGGTAAATGTACCAAAATGTTCTTTGAATCTATTTGGATCAGTTATCTAGTTTGTCCTACATATCTTTCGCCACAACCTCTTCAGAATCATTTCTTGAATTTCCGAATTCTAACGAATTTCGAAAAAAATGTCTCACCTACATGTACCGACCTATAGCCTGCCAGCAGGCACTGCCTGTATATCTCGGTGCTCGACTTCCCTGTATTTGATTATAGTGTTATACGAGATGGTATGATTATATAAGACGTTATATTACTTTCAAATGTTCCTTGAATCAACTTGGATCAGTTATTTAGTTTGTCCTACATATGTTTTTCAAGTGTCTCCTGACTGCCTGTTTGAATACCTCGGTAAGTGTACCAAAATGTTCCTTGAGTCTATTTTGATCGGTTATCTAGTTTGTCCTACATATGTTTCGCCACAACCCCTCCGGAATAATGTCGTATATTCCCGGAATCTAAAGAATTTCGAAAAATGTACTCACCTGCAGCCTGCCAGCAGGCACTGCCTGTACATTTCGGTGCTCGACTTCCCCGTCAGCTGGTGACCCGTCAAGTATGTGTTGTGCGAGGAGTTGATGAAGTAGTGCGCCAGCGGCTGGTCCATGTCGTTGCTCAGGTCGAATTTGGTGGCGGCCATTATGTTGTTGTCCTCCGACAACAGATACCTGAAACGCCAAATTAATCCATATGAATCAAATCAGTGATTTAATTCGTGAGTTAATTGAGATGACTGAAACACCTGAAATCTTTACTCAGATTCGTAAGATCATAACTTCCAAAAGAATCAACCGATTTCAATTCGGTTTTCAGATTTCAGAAGCTCATTTTATTGTCTTCAGAGTCATGAATTCTGAAAACTAAAAAATGAGAGAATAAATATTCCACAGGGCATCGCATTTGGAATGATCTCATTTCATCCAAGAAAAGTTCATCTGGTTTTCTCATATTATATCATGGAGTTTGATGTTATTCCTCGGAATGGTTTTTTATTTTTATTGATTGATTTTAGTAAGAGAGTCGGCTGCACGACCGTCATCTGATAACGAAATGTTATATGTTTCCGCGAGATCTAAGTTAGTGGCAGAGCGCCAATAATTCAGAGAATATTCCACCTCTGTCGTCGGAAGATAATATCCGATGGACCAGTGTAAAACTCATGTACTACGAGTATTTTAATCCACATGTTGAGCAGGGTGGATAGAATATGGTGTAATCACAGACAGTGTTTTGTTTTTCCCAAAACGCTTGACCGCAGATTCCGCAATAATGGCATATTGGTTCTCAGTTGGCGAGATTGCGACACTTTTTAAAGTTTTTTTTATGACAGAAAACAGAAAACGAAGCTTACATACCGCTTGCACCAGAAATAATAATCATTCATAACATAATCAAATGAGATTACATTTGAAAGAACAAAATTGTAATTCCGCCATCTAACGGGTAGAATGCGACCTATATTCCGCGATATTGAAAAGAATCCTTCTGTTAATTAGGCCGTAGGTCAAGAACTTTGACCAAAAAACAGTAGATAGGATTTGATAGGAGTTTCTACACCATCTTCTGTTCATCCTGATGTTGAGTTTTACACAGGTCCGTCGGATATTATCCATAGAGAGCAAAATATTCTCGGAAATATTGACACTCTGCCACTGACAACTCTACATATTATATTCAAATAATGATGATAATTATTTCCGAGTTTTTGATTTTTCAACTCCAGCATAATCTTTGTGAGGCAGTGAGCAAATTTTTCTGAAAGTTTAATACGTTTTAACAAATAAGATTGTTCTTAGGCAGTACCTATCAATAAATAAATTTTGATTTCAGACTAAGCCTTATAGTTGAGAAATGGTGAAAATTTTTATATAGGTATTTAAACTAATGTGCTCATATATCATGTTGGGAATCATTTTTGCAGTTTTTCACGAAGGTATAATTTTTTAAACGGTAGGGCATATGCCTCTTCTTTTAATCCTCCGTTTTAGTCTGAACTGTTTCTACTAAAATGCATTCAAAAACTTGTGGAGTGGATAATTATAGGCACAATGAGAAAGTATGATATGTGATTTCGTATTAGTTTTACCTCGAATATTTTGCTGATGTACACACACTGGCACAATTAGGGGAACGGGCAAAATTTACACCAAGTTTGACATCAATTTTCTTTCGAACCGATTACTCGATTCAATTTTTTTTCTTCACGAAATGTAGCTTCAATCTTCACGAATACATCTGAGAAATAATCACCTTCAAAAGATGAGTCTTTCCATCATATACAGGGGTGTGAAGAAAGTACGTTTTTTTCGGTATTTTTTTAGACATCCTGTGGACTGAACCACTGATAATTGCAACGATTTCTCAACACCAAATTGGAGCCCAATCTATTCCGAATATTTTCGTTTTTTATTCATCTTGATATCTCAATTATTCAAGAAAATACAGAGTTTCAAAGGAAAGGTGGATATTGGTATCAATTTTACACCTCAAAACTCAAATTGGATCTGAAAATGTGTCGTTTCTTTACTAACCTAACCTAACCATGACTAAACCTCTACCATAGGAGACAGAAGCAATGAAATCAAATTGTTCATTTTGTTCACCTCGGCGATATAGTCTTTCCCTGCCATCTATTGAATTGGTGCAGATGCGGCTCTCATATGTTAAAAGAACATTGGTCCACTGGTCATTTTCAATTAATGCTACAGCCCTCGCCACATCAGTAGGAGTCAAATCTCTCACGTTGAATTTTCATTAATCAAATTTATGAATTGTGAATCGCTTGACTTTGACAATAATTAATGACATTAACAAAAGAGCCAACGTTGATCAACAAAAATAGCATTTCACCAAAAGAACATTGGAGCAACTTTTATCACCCCTGCATATTCATGAGAGTATTCGTATATGTGTCTTGGAGTAAAAATCCTCACAGAAACAAGTTGAAAAACGACACGTTCTCCCCAGTTCGAGTTTCGAGGTGGTAAAATTAATACCAATATCCACCTCTTCTTTGAAACTCTATATTTTCTTGGATAATTGGGATATCAAGACGAATAAAAAACGAAAATATTCGGGATAGATTGGGCTATAATTTGGTGTTGGAAAATCGGTTCAATTATCAGTGGTTCACTCCACAGGATGTCTTAAGGAATACCGAAAAATCCGTACTTCTTTACACCCCTGTATATGATATAAAGACGAATCGTTTGGAGGTGGTTATTTCTCAGATGCATTCGTGAAGAATGAAGCTAAAATTAGTGAAAAACAAATTTGAATCGAGTGATCGGTTCGAGAGAAAATTGATGTCAAACTTAGTGTAAATTTTACCCGTTCCCCTAATTGTGCCAGTGTGTGTATTTACCAATTTTTCCCATTTGGTCACTTCACTTCACTTTCCATGTTCTAAATTTATTTGCATTTGATGGAAAGCTGACAAATTCAAATTTGCCATCCAACTGATTGATACAGCCTAACATCCTTCCAAAACAGAATAGAATATTGTCGTATTAAGATCAAGAATGAAATGAAAATTTTGTAAGCTCTGTTTTAACGCCTATGAATGTGACGTGACAGCAATGTCATGTCAGGGACACCAATACACGAAACAAAAGTTACTAGATGATTAAAAGAGAAAGGAGCTGTGATCTGTCCGTACCCTGTTAGATGACAAATACGTCAGTTTGCATTAAGGGAACCTAGTGTAAATAATCAAGGATGGAGAGTTTATTGACCATAGTACCTGAGAAAACCCTCGAAAGAGAGCTGTCCTTTTTGTGCGTTGTATTTGTTCGGTTCGTAGAGAGCTATCACATCTTTGGCCTTCGCTGTATCTGCGTACGGGTGGAGGATCTCGTTCAGCCTGGGGTCGCGCTGGGTCTTGTTCAGGAACTCCACGAATTGGTGGGAGGTCATCACTTTCTTAGCACCAACGCTGAACAATAACAATAATCAATCACTCAGGGTATAACATGAAGTTATAGTCATGTTGTAGCCATCTAGTGGCAAAGCTCTAAGGTAGGATCCAGAGATCGCGACACACACTGTATGGCGCTGCCATCTATAGTCACACGTACAGACCCTTACGTCTACACGATACAGAGTGGTACTACAAGTAAACCACTCTGCTGACAGATGACAGTACCTGACATACTTGAGTGGATTTTTCCACCACCTGGATCCTGGATCTCTTAGTTATGAGATCTAGCAGTTGAATAGGTGGTGGAAAAATCCACTCAAGTATGTCAGGTAGTGCCATCTGTAAGCAGAGTGATTTACTTGCAGTACCACTCTGTAGCGTGTAGACGTAAGGGTCTGTACGTGTGACTATAGATGGCAGCGCCATACAGTGTGTCGCGATCTCTGGTTTCTACCTTAGAGCTTCGCCACTAGATGGCTACAACATGACTATAACTTCATGTTATACCCTGCGTCTTCGAAATGGGTGATATACCCGAAGCGTAGAGTTGTCCCAGTTGTCAGCAGACCGAGAGCGGCTGATGAGACCTGGTGGGTCGAAACAGTACTGTCTCGCTCCTGCTGACAATTGGGGCAATTCTGTTCATCCTGGATCTCTTAGTTATGAGATCTAGCAGCACAATAATCAATCATCTTTGGTCGAAGTCCATATTGCTCAAAGTGGAGTGAAATTTTTCAAAAATGTAAAATGTCCTATTTGTAAAATGTAAAATGTCCTATTTGAGAATCGAAAGTTGATATCATTTCCGTAAAAGACCGGCAGTTGATTTATTTTCCAAATATGTCAGAAATTGCCATTTAGTGAGTATATTCAAGCTTCCAAATCTCAGAAATATAGCTACAGGAGAGAATAGGTGAGTGTACCATGAGTCTGTTTCAAAGGGTATTTCAGTTCAATGACACAATGCAGCAGAATTTTCCTATAATCCGTTGTCAAAGAGTCGATTCGATTCATCTTGAAGCATTTTACAGAACGTATTTGATGTCCGCTCTATTTTCTGGAGTGTTCTACTTCAAACATTGAGCGTAAGTACAAGGTGTCCCAAAATGGAATGAACAATTTATTTATAGCGTATTTCAGTCGGTGTTTCACGTTTGACTTTGAATACTTTTCTGCAGGGTTGGCATGAATTAATTGATATGAATTAAATCATTGATTTGATTCGTGAATTAATTCCACTGACTTTTTTCGAAAAAGTCATGAATTCATTAAAATTTTTAAAAATGAGACAAATAGCACAATTACCTTCGATTTTAACTTGTTTAAACTGAAAAATTCGATCGTATTTTGGCAAGACTTTGTTATTTCAAGCATGACAAAGATTTTTACTTACAGATATATACAGTATCAAGTATCATCCATAAAGTCCATAACATATGAGAACAGCTTTATTATCACAGCATCGAATTTTTTTTCTCGGCGATCCATTATGAATATCCGATAACTTGAAAATCGATTTTGACACATGTCACGTGATCACTGGTATGGTGATAAATAAAAATAATACTATAAAGCGACGAAAAGTGGGGTTAGATAACAAAATATCCATAAACATTTCTTATTAAGTTGCTATTCCACACTCAGTTTCGAGCAATTTATGGAAGAGAATTGGAAATAGCTATATTTTTTCGAATATTTTTCAATTTTGTTACAATTCTCTTTTTTTTCTGACAGTAGTGATGTTGATGATGTACAAGTTGAATAGAATTCAATTTTATGCTCACATATGGAGTTTCCAGCCATTGTTTGAGAAAACTGAAAATTGCTATTTTTATTTTTTTAAATAACTTCATCTTCCCATCTAACCCCACTTTTTGCCTTCGTAATTTTTTGTATTTACCGCCATACCAGTGATCAAGTGACATGTGTCAAAATCGACTTTTAAGTAGTCAGACATGCATATATTAGATCCCCGAGAAAAAATGTTTCGATATTCTACTAATAAACTTTTTCTCCATGTGTTACGAACTTTATGGATGATACTGGATCTATATGTATCTATTATTTTGTATTCTATCATCACTTTTAATTTTGTTTTGAAAAAATGACATGTTATATTATGATGTTATTCTACAAGATTTCTGAAAGGAATAAAATCATAGTTTTTTGTTTCTTTTTTTCTATTTCGCTTGGGGTGAATGAAATTTGTTTGTTGACAATTTCAGTAGTGCATTGAACAGTGCAAACAGTAGTAAATTTTGCACGATCTTATCGAAAAAAATTAAAACATTTTATGATGCAGTCATTAGGATTGATCTTCAATGGGTTATTGCGATGTAATTATCAAGATATTTGTGATATGATCTCATCACTAACCTAAGAAAATGTTTGTGTTATGTATGGGACAGTATGTATTTAGAGGTATTTTTATGAATTTTTCCACATAATTCGTATACTTACATCTCGTTGAAAACTTTCTCGACTTCTGTCCGTTTGGTGAGCTGGACATAGAAGTTAAAAAACGTTTCGAAGTCGAAACTGTCCGAATTTATCGCATCCGTTTTTCCAGTAGAGAACCCCAGAGAATGCAGGATCGATTCCACCCGTTTCTTGTCCTCTTTATTTTGTGCGAACAGCTTCAATACGCTGAAAATCGAATGAAGAGATTATATAGTATTAAAAAACACAAAGAAAAATCGAAATAATTGTTGGAACAACAAGGCAGGACAATGTTTTTCAGGGCAGGAAGAAAATCTTACAGTCAACTCCACCAAAACTATACTTTATTTAAGCTAAAAAAATTGTTTTCATGAAAAAGAAACGTCCACAATTTCCACAGCTATCCTTGCTTCTGATATACAGGGCGAAATTGAAAATTCTCACTTTTCAAGCACCTACAGTATCTTGATTCCTTTAAACGCCAAGATGAAAACGGGAGACAGTTTGTTGTAGAATATACTAATGTATTGTTACGTTATTCGGGTGCAGAAGCGAACACGACACTATTTATTTTCGAACTGATTTATTTAAACTAAAGAAACACTAATTTATATCGAACTATTTATGTATATTTATTTATATCAGGCGGTATATAACTGTCTCTCTGACACTCGCTGCTCGACTGACTGAAAGCAGTTGTTCGGCCGTTTATATATGAGATCACTTGGCAGGCTTTGGTTCGAGAACGTTCTCGAATGATCTTTCGTCTCATTCTTTTTGTTCTAGAAGCTTCTTAGAACAAAACCTCTCTCTCTAATTGTTCCATCGATTGTTTCCAGAACATTCCAGAATCTTCTGTGACGTTATTTGTCACTGCAGCATATATTGAGTGTTCGGAAATATGCTGGTGTATGTAGGAATCATTGGGAGGTTGGAGAACAATCTGGGATGCGTGATACAGGATGATCGTTGTACTCCTGTCTTACTGATGATGTTTCTAAAGCCCCTCTAAGGGAAATATCATTACAGTATGTAAGGTTCAAGAAACCTATCGGAATTATATAATAATAATTGCAAATAATGACTTTTTGTTTGACAAATTTATTTTTCTATCTGACATGTTTGTGTGCAATACTAAAATTATTATCAATATGGGGGTGACCCAGTCCATGGAAAATTGACTTCATATCTATTTGCCCCATTGAAAAAAATAGTATCTTTAAAAAACTTCATCGTACTATCTCCGAGCGTATCTAACTTCTGACTCATGATCTCTTCTCACTCTGATCAGCTGGTTCCTTGATACCTATTTTGTCAAGATCCCACAAATCAGGAATGGAAAAATCAGTGAATCCAGAGAATATGTGAAAATTGTTATTTTTCTGACACTTTCTCATTATTGTCCAACCTAGATGTGTTAGCTATGCCATCTCTTATCGAGTTTTCTTTCAGGCAGATCGCTTCACGTGGTGGTGGACGGTGTATCGCCTGATACCATTGGCATCAATTCCGGCGTTCCACAAGGATCGATTTTGGCACCAAAATTATTCCTTCTTCATATCAATGATTTGTTGGGAGTAACAACTTGCCCCATCCACAGCTTTGCAGATGATAGTACCCTCCATACTGCGTTCTCTTCCAGAATTCCCATTTCTTCCCAGGAAACTAAGAACTCACGGCGCAGGCAGGTCGATGCTGTCAATGAAGATTTTGCTGAAATCACAGCCTGGGGAACCAACAACCTAGTTGAATTCAACGCCACCAAAACTCAAGCCTGTATTCTCTCTAGAAAGGCGGAACTCAGTATGCCCGATATTGTGATGTCTGGCTCCACCATCCCCACCAAGCCCACCATATCTATGCTCGGTATTTCCATCAGCAACACTCTTTCATGGGATAATCATGTCAGATCCATCGCAAAAGCTGCTACACAAAAACTCGGATTCTTGTTCCGTGCGAAAAGCTACTTTACACCTCAACAGCTTCTCATGATCTACAAAGCGCAGATACGGCCTGTTCTAGAATACTGTTCCCACATATGGGGTTCAGCACCAAAACATACGCTGATGCTCTTAGATTCCATCCAGAGAAGAGCCATTCGCCTGGTGGGTGACGCCACACTCACTCACTCTTTGACATCATTAGAACACCGTAGAAAGGTCGGCGACCTTTCACTTTTCTATCGATACTTCCACGGGCAATGTTCTTCGGAAACCTCTGCTATCATCCCTTCACTAGCAATACCAATCAGGCGAACTAGACAAGCCCAGTCAGCACATCCTTTCGTTGTAAACCTCGAAAGATGTCGAACAGCACTTTATCAAGACTCCTTCATCCATAGAACGGCTAGGCTCTGGAATTCATTGCCTGTGGAAATATTCCCAACAACATATAATCTCCAAAAGTTCACCTCCTGTCCCTATCCTCCCTAGGAACGCACGATGTTCTTTGAACATTATAGGGATTCCCTTTCGTGCGCTCCAAGCGATAAAAAAAGTGTTTCTATTGCAACTAAACTATTGTCTATATTTTCGGTACAACCAGTGAGTAATCTACCGAAGATTTCAGCTCCCAACAACAACTCAATTTCTATAGGAGTGCCTTGGCAACAATCTGTGATCAAAAAATTACAAATTTTTGCCTGGTCCAAAACTGATAGTGAAAATTGAAACTGATTGTCGAAACTTCGAATGGTGATATCGTATTTATTATGTACTTTCGGTGGTGACTGTTGAGCTCCAAAAACACCCTGTATAATATTTTCTTCAGAAATCTTTTCGAATCGCAATTCTCTCGCAGAGTTTGATAAAATATATGATTTCTGAGACAGTGACGTACTGACTTCATTTTCATAAACGTTCAATTTTCATTTTCAATGCCTGCATCCAAACTTTGATCATCTCCTCTCCTATAAGAGCTAGCACTCTATTATATAAGCATAGTGACATGCCAGTAAATCATCAGCATCCGCAGTTAATTGATTGTTAGAAATACTGAGGTTTTGACTGACAGTCTGTTATTATTTTAATAGTTGCCATACTTAGCCTCATTTCAATGAAATCAGGAGAATTACAAATTACAAAGTAATCTGATTTAGAATATTTCGTCACAAATTCAAGTTCCAATGAATTTGGAAAGCTATCAATGCACATGGTGACCTAACATTGTCAGTCTATGATCAATAAATCAACAGATGTAATATAAATAGTGAGAATGCGATGATGACATTTCAAAATGTTTATATTTGCTTCGCTTTCAAACAATTTTGGCACCACATGATTTATACATGTAATTACTTAAAAAACAAAATGTGAATTCAAATCCAGAAATAATACTGTAGAACATACAAACAAATGCAGAATTCCGATCTACAGTGAAAATTTGTGAAAACAGTTTTGTTATTGCGACATTTTTACTCGATTGCAATATAGGGTGTTACACTAACTGAGGACGATAGGTGATATCAAAATAGTAAAGGGAATACTCCCCTAGGTGCCGTTATACAGGGTGGTCCAGGATAAACGTCAATAATTTTGATGGGCGATAGAAAAACGGAAAAGAAGTAGACTTTCATGAAAAAACTTTTGTAAAAAATGCTTCCTAACAAAGATACAGGGTCTCAAAGTTTTGGACAAACATTGGATTTCTCATCATAACTTCCAAACCACCCGACCCAAGCCAAAGACAAGAATCTCACTGAGCTTAGGTAAATACGCGACGGTGTTTCAGGCAGAAATTATTGCAATACATCATTGCGTGAAAGAATTGATAAGGCAAGAGTTTAAAGGCAAAACCATTGCAATCTATTCAGATAGCCAGGCGGCAATCAAAGCAGTCAACTCTATGCAAGTTAACTCAAAACTAGTATGGGACTGCTTAGAAACCCTAAATGCACTGGGCAGTCAGAACAGACTGACTCTAGCATGGGTACCAGCACATACAGGGTACGAGGGCAATGAAGAGGCAGACTCACTTGCCCGAGCAGGAGCAAACAAAGCTCTGAATGGCCCAGAACCCTTCTGTGGTATTGCGAAAGCTATACAAAAGACTAGTATCAAATCATGGATGCAAACCAAATCTCAAGAATGGTGGAACAAATCGCCAGGAATGAGACAGGCAAAAGAGTTTATTAAAAAACCATCGCCAAGATTCACAGAATATCTACTAAGCCAGAAACGAAGTTCAACTAGAATACTAGTGGGACTTCTCACAGGGCATTGTAGGCTCAACAAACACATGAGTACGATAGGTCTGACTGAAGAACTGCTGTGCAGGTTCTGTCAGGAAGAGGAGGAAACAGCAGTACACATACTTTGCCACTGTGAGGGCTTGTCAAGACTAAGGTTCCTTACGCTGGGTGAGGAAAAACCAGAAGCCCAGACAGGGGATCTGAAAGCTAGCCTATGGAGTCTCATAGAGAAGACGGGGCTAGCCGAAGAACTCTAATCGATTTTGAGGGCAGACACAATAGATCTGAAAAGGTCGCGGTGTGGAGGCAGATAGCCCGAAGGCCCCATTCTAAATCTAATTCTAAATCTAAACCACCCGACCGATTTCGATCAAATCTGGCACACAGACTAGTGTATCATTTGAAGAAATTCTTCAGTGGCGTAGATAATGGGGGTCGACATCTTCTTCTCCCTCTCCTAATCTTCAGTTTCACTGGATATTTCACACTAAGATTCGATTTTTAGTTTTCTTGTTTGATTTAATGAATGAGAAAACCTTTGCAAATTTTTGATTTATGGCTTCGTTTTCAAGATACTTATTCGGATTTGAAGGGTTGCAAGAAGCCTAAATATTTGAGGTTCTGTACAGGCTGTGACTAGTATGGCTTCCAATAATCTTCATGGAGTACACATTACAGTGATGATTTTGATAATTCCAAACTCTGACACCCTGTATCTCTGTTAGGAAGCATTTTCAACCAAAGTTTTCTCCTTAAAGTCTACTTCTTTCCCGTTTTTCTATCGCCTATCAAATTTAAAGACGTTCAACCTGGACCACCCTGTATAGATGAAGGAAGGAGTTTTGAACGAGATTTTTGGAGTACCTATACCATTTTTGTGGAAGTATCTATAAAAAAGTGAGAAGTCGTAGCTTCTTAACCCGGATACACGCTCATACCAAGTTGGTGAATATTTTATAAGGTTTCAATTGAAAAATCGAGTTGTTTATTTTTTGTTGAACTGGCAATTAATATTATTGAATCTGAATGGAGTAGAAAATTTTATTTCAGCCCTAAATTCCGATGAAACCTTTGAATTATTGGCCTGAACTCCTAGATCACCTTGTGAACATTCAGAATTGCCATGAGTATAGAGGATATTTGCATCTTGCATATTTCTGTGTAGGTAATCTATGTCCACAGAACATTAAAATAATAATTAACCGAACTATAATTAGATTTGTTGGCAAATGAAATGCTCGAAACAAAAAAAAATCAAGTGAAGTGACTCACTAAATTTTTTCACATTGACGCAACGAAATGTTGATCATTTTTTGTAAATCAATATTCTCAATTTTGTCAACCACCACCAGTGATTGATTAATGGAATATATCATCAATTTAATCAATTAATTGAGCTAAAAAATGAAGTTTTCACCATTTGATATGTATAGGACATTTTATTAGAGCGAAATAAAAATAGGCAAGCTTACCGGTTTAATCGAGTCTGATTTTCGAATTTCAAATAGCATCCTTTATGTTTTTTCCTAGTTTTTTTCAGTTTTTGAATGGGGAAGACCACTGAGGGAAGAAATCCGTGCAAACCTCTTTCAATCGACGAATCATGATTTACGTTTGATCTACAATCAATATTATGAGTTGAAGTTGAAGGGAATCGAATCTATATCGTTTTGAAATCAGCATATTTCATTCGTTATTTCGAAAAGCCAAATATGATGGTGGAGCTATGACGTATTAGTCCCGCACTGTAGCTATCTCTCTCTGATACCTCGTCATTCTGCAGTGTTGCAGTGTGATTGGTGAGTTCAAGGACAATAGGCGTGTTGGGACTAAGACGTCGCACCAGTCTCACCAATGAATTGACAAATTTTCAAATGGCGCAGGAATTGTGTGTTTAGAAATGGACATATTCTAATTTATTTTTTTCATCGTCTTAGCATGAATGAAAAAATTCAAAATTAATTCACTGGTAGTTTTTCAGTATAGAGTGGTCTCCCTCATTCTATTCAAAATCTTTCCATTGATGTATAAATCTTTGTGTTTTACAGGAAAAAATAAAGTGAATTTCTGAAAATTTTGTTTTTTGTTCAATTTTCCAAACCGATTTCGTCTAAGTTCCTACAAAAATGTTTCCACTAAGATGTTCCATATAGATATGTGTATAGCATATATTTTCGCATACTTATTTATTAGTAATATCAATAACAAATCAGAATAATTATATTGAATATACACTACACTGTTTTACCACTAACCAAACCGATTAAAACAGTTTTAATATTCTCCTGAAGATGCTAACATAGTTAGCGAAACACGTGTCGAGGCGTTTAAAAAATCGGTTTGGTAAGTGGTAAAACAGTGTAGTGTATTATCGTGCCAAAGGTTCCAGTCTTCGATATATATTGAATATATTTATCGATATCGACAAATTGTTCAAAAATGTTTGAATACGAATTAGAAAGGTATACTGAAAAATATAAAATTAAGAGAAATAAAGATCACCATATATATACTCAATTACTTAAACAACTACATTAAAAATATATTTATTTCTGACAGTGACATTATAAGCTTATATCGTCATAGTTACGATATCTATTATGAGGGTCATAACTCCCTTGGGATGTTATAGATGCTATAATTCCCTCTAACTAAAATCAAATAAGAAATGCATAGCAACAACCACGCAGTAACGTAGCAATACGGAATCTCCTATTCGCGGTAGTCAAGATCATCATCTGACGTTCTGATGACATTGAAACTATACGGAAAAACATGTCTAACTTCCAATCGGGAAGGTATCTAATGAATGAAATCAGTCAGAAATAAAATTATCTATGTATCACGGGAATTACTGAGCCTCAATAACCTCAGGCAATTGCTGTCCCTCGGGCCAGAGGCCCTCGGGACGCAAACTTTGCCATCGGTAATTAAGGCCCTCATAATTCCCTTAATACATAAATAACTATTATGGCATTGAGACAGCCTCTCGTTCTCGTCTGAATCATGATTATTGATAAATTTATCTGTTACTAAATTAGCCGATAGATGGCAACACAACCATGTTGCTCACATTCATCATCAAACAAAACACACTCCAAAAGTACCTAGAGGATGTTTTATATCAAATCTGTATCTAGAAAACGAAGCAAGTTAGGACACATGTTTATATAAACTTTAGTTCTTGAAATATCACAAGAAATCACCCCTTGAATTTTTTCGGTGCTATTTAGATTCACCCTGTAGACGAAAACTCAACCCAAACGGAAATATATAATTCTTGTTGTTCCACATTTCCTATTGTTACTCAATATATTTATCCGCCAATGTCAGAGATAAGATTTCTGATTTCCGTTAATTATATTTTACAAGGGACCTAATTATTTCCGAATGATTACTTTTGAGTTTTCAATTAACGCATGGCAATTCCTTCTGGAACTGATTTGTTTCCAAACCGACTGAAATAGCTGAACAACCCATTACCCTGAGGCCTGGGCTCGAAAAATATTGTCAGTGTTTACTGTTTATGACAAACATAATAATTTCCGAGATATTCCCACGTAAAATTCGAACAGCCGTTTTTCGAGAAATAAACAATGGAATAGGATACTCAGATTCTTCGTCATAATAAACATCATGTTGGAAATTTACGAGAATTGTCTTTATGATGGCTAGTGGCACATTCAGGTTGACAGAGGCGGATCCATGTGATATTTGGGGGGGGGGGGCGCCACGCGCTAACTTTTCTGAATTATACCTTCCGGACATCCTTCATTATTTGAATATTTTCATGAATAGCGCTTAGTCAGGCTTAGCCATCATTTTAAAAGAAGATAATTCACTCCGAAGAGAAATTTCTTTTACAAACGTCAAAAAACGACGATAACAATATGCGATAAGTGAGATTTTTTTTTGTTTTTTCAAATTTTTAAATGGAACGCCCTATATATTTTTGCTCCATTAGATAGATCTTTCGAAGAGCTTTCCGAAAATACCCCACTCGATACATTTATCTTCAGTATTTCTCATAATATGGACAGTCTAACCTAAAAAAAAGTGTTTATCGATCCTCAAATGATTTTTGAGAGTATGCTGTGACAATGAATCTAGGTAATTAATATATCGTTATGATATTCAATACTCATTGACAGTAATTAATCGCACAAAGTCAGAATTGTAATATTGATTTAATTTCCGGAAATTAACATTTTCTATCATTATTCAATCTATTCAACATCAAGTTGCAAAAATTCAGTCTTTTATTTCTATGAATCTCTGTCAATTTTTGTACCGTATGGAATTTATAAGGTCTAAATTTATATTTTTTCAAAACTTTGATGATGGTTCGCCTTGATGGAATATTACCATTCGGAAAACGAAATTCATAGCCACGTCTTGCAGCGGATGCGTTTTGATTATTTTCTATGAATAAAGTTACTATTTTTTGCTTTTTTTCATATGAATAAACCATGATTCAAGAATTGATTATGGAGGAAATCAACAAGAGATGACGAAGGAATTTATCTTCACTGGAAATGACAATAAAATGTCATAACAAACCCTCATTATTTTTCCAGTTACTCATGGCATACTATCTACAATCATAGAATAGTGTTGTTATTCATTCAGAAATCAATAAAAACGAATTTCAGGTTCGAACGTCTATATTATGAGAAATACTGAAGATAAGTGTATTTAGTGGGGTATTTTCGGAAAGCCCTTTGAAGGGTCTATCTAATGGCGCGAAAATATATAGGGCGTTCCATTTAAAATTTTTGCACTCCTTCTTGCTCCCTTATGTATATCTTCTGAGATACTAAAAATATATCAGTTGATTCGATGAGGAAAAAAAATCCCCTGTAAGACAATATTTTCAATTTGTTTCTACTGTCAAAAATAATAAAGTTATACGGGGTGCTACTTTATAACGTGTCACCCGGTACATAGGTACATATTTTTATCTGAAGGAGAATGCAGAATAAGCTACCAATATGAAACGGGTAAGGACCAAGTTTAAATTTGAGATCAGTTGATCGAAGGCATCGAAGCGCCTAGTGAAGAATCATTGAAGAACATTTGGCGCCCGTGCAGGGATCGATCTGAACCCAAGTCATAAAATCAAGAAATTTACCCCTGTTCCTATCGACTGATGGTCCACTCTTCGTTTTTATTTTGAATACTAGATTTGAATGGTAGGAAATAAATGTATTTCATTTATTCTTAAATTGTTATGATCACCCAGTTACAAGTTGGAAGGTCCTTAATGAATTCAGAACATACTAGACAGCCACACAATTTTCCGTTTTTTTTTCCAATTATGATGAATAAAGTACTCACTTTTTCACAGGAATATTTCCAGACTTGTCCTTGATCAGAGATAGTTTGGTGAAAGCCTTCAACAGGTACATTTTGGTCGTACCGTTGATTTGATTCAAGTTGTAAGCCAAAGATAATAGCGAATCCGTCCACAGCCTGGCAATTTCCCTCTTGGTGCAACAAAAGTTGATGAAGGTGATATTTACAAAGTCGTTGGCACAGCAAACAGTCACAGTTTTTTCTTCCAGAGTATCTTGGGAGCCCATCGTCACTATCTGCCGCAGCTTGGAATCCTGAAATAAGAGTTAGTAGAGTAGATTATGAACCAAGGGATTCAAGTGGCATTTTTAATCTCGATGCGAAAAGTTCAACTCGATGAGGAATTAAACAGGACTTTAGTCCTGTATAGTTTGTAGGTATCAACGAATCTATTAGAACTCATAACTTCTGAAGTATCTGGTGTATCAAAATGAGACTTGGTATGGATGAATGGTATGTGAAGAGAAGAGTTTTCGCATATATTTCGATTTCCGATCACTTCCGGTTTCAATGGAAATTGCTCCAGTTTTGAATTTTTGAATGGAACATCCTGAATATTGTAACATTCTTGGATTTATGATACTATTCTGAATCAAAATGTGATATTGTTAGAAGCTTTTACGCCTTCTTCATTTTTTTAAACTTTTAAACTTTCAATATTACGTACATCTAGGTGGTTATGTTCGGCCGTAAACTAATCTAAGGACGGGTAAATAACTATAATCCGTAGGACAGTCTAGATATTCAGCTGTCATTGGATAGGAATATGGCGAGTTGGCAAAATTATAATTTCGTGTCTAACTATCATTTTTCAAATAGCTAGAAATTTTTAATATGCACACTTCGACGAATATAACGAAAATACCTGAGTTATTAATTGCGATTGAATTTAAAATAAGAACTTGGATTGAATATGACTATAAAGAAAATACTGGACAGTAATTGATTTACTTTTGTCAACTGTCCCATGGAAAGCCACGATACATAATATTTTGCAGTTATGCTCATCGAGTCTCCTTTGGAAAGAAGACTCACTTATGTAATGATAGTGACATAAGCTTCATGAGAAAACAGTAAACGTCTCTTAATTTTATGCAATAATAAAACTGACTGTAAAGAAATGACCTCGGAAATGAAAAAGGCGTTGAAACTCGCGTTAAAACTTATGAAAATGTAACATTCTGATCCATAATAATTATTGTCTCAGAAATCCAAAAATGTTTTAGTCTCTGGAGTGTATAAATTACTATGTATTACCGAAACGCTTCACGATGAAGTAATTACAGTCTTCTATTTCATATGAACCAATTTTGAAAATGGGTGGAAAAAAAGAACATTGCCCCTAATTTCAATTTGATATTTTTCGATGCTGCCATTCGATATAAACTACTCAACACTAATTTCGTCGCACACCAAAATGTCGCCCCTGTTATAATGTGAATAACTTTTTTCAGTTCACAACAATTTGAATTTGGTTCACACTGTTCGATAGCCCAGTCCTTCAGCTATAATATCGTACTTCATTGAGACATAAGGGTATTCACATAAAATATCTACATGGTGTTTTCCGACACTGTGCAAAATTTCGGAATATTCAAAAGGCGCTCAAATGGTGAAAACATTTTTTTCCTCAACTTCGACAACAGGGGCATGAAGATGATCTCATTACCTCGAGATATTTCGCGAATTAACTTCCTATCTCTCTTATTTACAGAGTGATCTCAAAAAATCAACTTTTTGGTTTTGCAGCCATAACTTTTTTTCACTTCAACCGATTCTGGAAATCTTAGGCTCATTTTGAAGATAAAACTTCAGATGAAGAGATCTGAATATCATAATTGAATCAAGATGGCTATCAAAGATCTAGAGTTTTCTTGAAACTGACCCAAATCTGGAACGCCCTCCGAATCTCGGTTGGGAGGAGAATTGAATGAAAATCAACGTGTTCTCGGAAGAACAATTCATTCTGGATGCGTCCATATTTTCCTCGCTCTCAGTAGTCAAGAATGTGCGTGAGAAAACACAATTGAAACATGTTCTTGCAGAAACATCAGACCATTTCTCCTCTGTAATGCATGGCCCGTAACCTACGTTACAAGAATCAGAGTAAGTGACTGACAAGTCAGGTTAGAGGTCGTTTTCGAATCATAAACAGATTTCGATACTTTCGATGCCGCATCTAACGCGAATGTGGGTGACAACTTTGTTCTTGTTGATGACAATGCGAGACCGCATAGGGTTGTTGGTACACCATTTATGATGAGCATTAGCTAGTCGGGTTTGTCAGTCCATTGTGATTCTTGTAACGTTGGTTACGGGCCATGCATTACAGAGGAGAAACGGTCTGATATTTTTGCAAGAACATGTTTCAATTGTGTTTTCTCACGCACAATTCTTGACTACTGAGAGCGAGGAAAATATGGACGCATCCAGAATGAATTGTTTTTTCGAGAACAAGTTGATTTTCATTCAATTCTCCTCCCAACCGAGATTCTGAGGGTGTTCCAGATTTGGGTCACTTTCAAGAAAACTCTAGATCTCTGATAGCCATCTTGAGACAATTCTGATATTCAGATCTCTTCATCTGAAGTTTTATCTTCAAAATGAGCTTAAGATTTTTAAAATCGGTTGACGTGGAAAAAAGTTATGGCTGCAAAACCAAAAAGTTGATTTTTTGAAATCACTCTGTAAATAAGAGAGATAGGAAGTTGATTCGCGAAACATCTCGAGGTAATGAGATCATCTTCATGCCTCTGTTGTCGAAGTTGAGAAAAAAAATGTTTTCACCATTCGAGAACCTTTTGAATATTCCGAAATTTGGCACAGTGTCGGAAAACACCATGTAGAGATTTCATGTGAATACCCTTATGTTTCAATGAAGTACGAGATTATAGCTGAAGGACTGGACTATCGAACAGTGTGAACCAAATTCAAATTGTTCTAAACTGAAAAAAGTTATTCACATTATAACAGGGGCGACATTTTGGTGTGCGACGAAATTAGTGTTGAGTAGTTTAGTATACCTAATTATATGTATTTTTTGGACCTCTTTAAAAGAAGACATAGCAGAGATAGTAAGGCAAGTTAACCCTCAGTTGATCTTAGATAGCGGAACACAAGACATTACAAAAAGACATGTGTTATATTTCAGATCAAATTTATAGCGCAAAAAACTAGCGCTTAAAGTAGTAATTTTACACGATCGTATAAAAAAGATAAACACATCCACCTCTGAAGTTTCATACATAAAAAAATAGGAATGAAAGGTCAAAGAGTGGAGAAGGGTCGATCACCAGTCAACCGCAGTACACTTGCATTATAGCAGAAACGTGAAATACGTCTTTGTTATTGCAGAAATACAATTCACATCTAGACAGGGTAGTTATTAATTCTTCTATTTATAGACACTGGAAATCCGTGGTTTCGATGGGGATACACCGGAACAGAAATTGTGAGATATAAATGAAATGGAAACCTCTAGAAAATGTTCAAGATTTTCCCCAAACCGATGGTCAGATTTAGGTTCAGAGAAAAATCCATTTTACAGTTCAAGTGAACCTACCACCATAAAACGGGTAGCTTCCAAGATTAAATATGACCGAAGCGCCTAGTAAGGATCACTGGAGAAAATTTGGCGCTCGAGCAGGGACCGATAAAACCGATTTGATCAGAAGTCGTTCAACATAAAAGATCAAACAAACTAGCGACAGATGGTCCGATTTTTGTGAATTTACATAATGATATCTTGAGTACTAAAAAGATGACCACATCCACTAGTATAGTTTCATACATACAAAAAAATACCGCAGTCCACTTGCATTATAGCGACAAAAACGTGAAATATGTCTTTGTTGTTGCAGAAACACAATTCACGCTGGCGTACTTTTAGACAGGGTCGTTATTAATTCTGCAGCAAGGGAAGCTCTATTTATAGAAACTAGAAATCCGTGGCTTCGATGCGGATACAGCGGAACAGAAATTGTGAGATACAAATGAAATGGAAACCTCTCGATCCAAATGCTCCAGATTTCCACCAAACCCCAACCCGTGCCGGGAAATGAAAAATATTTGGAGCGGAGCACATACAATTCTCTGGAGTTTTATGTCATTACAAACACTGAATTTTCAATAGAATAATCTTCACAAACAATTTCTACAACATTCACACTCGTAAAAAATACTGTAGGACAGGTTAAGAGGTTAAAAATATAGATTTGTTCAATTATTCTGATTAGGATCTCCAGGATGATCGATTTTTATATCCAGAGACACGGCAGTATCTTGCAGCAAGTATACTCTTATGATATGAACAAAATACAAAATATAGTTACATCCAGAGAGACGGTAATGTCTTGCAACATGTACTCGTACGAAGTCGGAGATTATGATGCTTTTGTCAATATTGGAAAATTCAATATGGCGGATACAATATGGCGGATACAATATGGCGGACAAGTTTTGTAATCATGATCCGATTAAATTAGTATCTGGGGATTGTCGGGGTAGGAGATTATATTCCTCCGTCGAAATTGGGAACTTACAAAAAAAATAAGAACACTGAAACAACGCTTCTGTGTTTAGCCGAACTAAAAAATGAAAAAATAAATTGTAGTTTGACAAACTAAAGAAACACCCTTTTGCAGATAACAAAACTAAATAGAAGTAAAGAATAAAATAATAAAAGTGTGCTGATAAATGCACAACTAGAGGCAGAGGCATCTCTATATGTTATGTATTTATCATCACACTTTTATTATTTTATTTTCTACTTCTTTCTAGTTTGGCTATCTATAGAATGTTGTTTCTTTAGTTTTTTAAACTAGTATTTTTTCCAACTCAACACGTTTGAAAATTGGACATGAATAAGTGAAAAAAATGTGGCGATATTCTCTCGTATATTAATTTTTTCAGCAATCTATTTTCGGAAAATCGGTATAATAACGTGATGCCCAATGTTTTTCTGTTGATACGACGTCAGCAGCAGCATAAAATGTCAGAGAAAATGTGTTTACGCATAAACAATAATTAGGCAGATTTAATTGGGCCTTCCTGTTGACACAAATTGGAGCAATTTCAACGCGATATACATGATATACTGTGATTTACGATTGATTATTCGTAATTAAGTTAATGGTTCTGTTGAAGTTTGGCTGCTTGCACTTTTATACAGTGTTGAACTGAATACTCGTGAATGGCTAAAAAACTAATTAATTGTCATCGAATATTTACACTTATAATCCCCCTGGTGAATGAA